AAAAAAAGGGAAAAACCATATGAAAAAAAAAAAAAAAAAAAAAAAAAAAAGGAAAAAAAATGAAAAAAAATTTTATTTAAAGTGGCTAAAGGTTTTTTTTAAAAAATGGTTGAATTTGAAAAAAAAAAAAAAAAAAAAAAAAAAAAAAAAAAAGTTTCTAGGATTCAAGATAAAGGTTGACCCAAGTTCACTATGTTATGGGCTAATTAGTTACTGCAATACCACCATAACGTTCTTCGGGATTCTAGTGGTCTTTTTAATTGAGGATATGGATACCTTTCCCTCTTGCCTCATCTCGGAGAAATGACGAGCTTCTTCCAGAAGGCGATAGCTACTCACTCAACCTGTGATACTTTTGCGAGATATTACCCTGGTGGGCATACAGGGAGTATGTAGCTATACTGTCTATGCCTGATACCCTGCGGAGCTCGTCGTGCAACTTTTGACTACTGTCCCTCCAACTAAGTATGGGAATTGCGAAACTATCTCGGGGCAGCATATACGGCCATCTTGTGCCTCAAGTTAAGTGTATGGGAGAGAGCAGATAAATGATTTAGGACAAACAAATCCTCTTCATTTACGTCATGACTCGACTGAAACGTATTGGTTAATGGTTCTATCCTAACCCACAACAATTGAATATCCGAAAGCTCACGATGAAAATATACCGAGTTATTGATTATCTCAGCGCTATTATTCCTTTCTGGAAATGCCCTCATGAGGTTGGCCGGATGTACCGCGACAATTTATACGATCAGTACGAAAACGAGAAATACGTTGGTTGCTTTCTCTCCCAGACCGCTTCCATCCATGAGTCCAAGTCAATTTATTATACATCATGTTTTCTCTCCCCTGGTGGTAGTTCATAATAACTTTTGCGCCTGTACTGTTATTGTGAGCAACCCATCCTGTCATCTAGCTAGAGTTATGGATTCGGCTAAGACAGAAATTGCGCCCTTTAGCCTGACTCCTTTCCCACCAAGGACTGATACGTCAAGCCCAGCGCAAAAAAGGCTGAGACCGGTATGTCAATTGTGCTCCATGTATTCTGGAGCCGATAGCTGGGGGCTGGGCAGTAACATAATCAGAGTAAGGATTATAGGATTATAACTTTCAACCACTTCTCATATCATCTCACCCCAAATATGCTAAAGCTACCATTCCTGATGATGAAAGTGGAGCAAATAAATTGTCTGAGCGGGGTGAGTGTTAGTAAATTTAACTTCAAGTTTATAGATTAAGTATAGATGATGATGTGGGTATAGAACTGGGGGCGGTACTGAGCAGTATGCAGCCAGGTGATAAAGATGATGTCTGAAAAGATAATTTCAATACTTCGAACTTTGAACTCTCCATATCATCAGTCGTGGTATTTATAGCAACAAGCCGTTTCGGCCATCTTGAAATAGCACACATATTGTGGAACTTCAACCTCTCGACTCTCTGCTCCTTGGGCCACATTTTTGATTATACAGGACTTCTGTGTGTAGCATTATGAGCTAAAGAAAGAGTGATACACATAAGCTATCAAATCGTGGCTGCTTGAGAGAAGTAGCAACATTAAGAGAAGAAGTTAAGACAGATACTTGTACCTTCGGTTAGAATGCCTTGGCAATGCTTGTTCCAGTGAAGGTTAGTTGCTTTAACTTCTCCGTAGCGAACCAACTAACAAAACCCTGGGGCTGGGAACAAGAGTGAAACACTACTTTTGAAGGTATGGTATAATTTTAATTCCCAGACAAGAGATTTGTAGGGGAGAAACCTGAAATTAGCTGAATACATTGGAGGGCGTCATGCTGTGAAATTGAAATGAATACTCCGTACTCCGTACTCCGCACATTCATGGGCACTTGGTATATGAGCGGGTGCTCGAGGATTTCAAGTGCGGCAAAGCTGCAAACGCAACAAACAGCGCGGCTCTCTTGGCGAGTTAAAGCGGCAGGTAGGCGCCTTCGGGCCGAATACTGGCCGATGGCGGGTGCTCAACCAACCACAGGGAGCCAAACCCCGCGCTCTTCCGACAACACAAAACCGCTCACGTTGATCTCACAGTCGCTCCGTTCTACATTCTACGAAAGCGTTCCACGGAGTTCGGCCGTCACCTCTCCCTAGCACGGCTGGAACATGCACCACTCGCCTAACCACGTTTAGCCACAGGTCCTGCGAATCCGACTGTCCTCCCTTGGTATACACCCACCCCTGCTTTCACTCTGCCTATGCCAATGAGGCATGTCAATTCCTTTCCTGCTTCTGGCCTGTTTTCGCCCATGCCAAATTCCCAGCCCACATTGCGATATCTTCGGACTAACGATGAATGTTAGCCTTGTGACCTGGGCGGCCGGGTTGGGGCGAAGATGCCTGCTGTAAATGATGGCTCGGGGGAACTGGCCATGTACCGGGCGTCTGCCCAAACGCCATTTTTCGATGTAAGAAAACAAGAGCTGCCTCCTGCCGTGTCTCCCAAGCAAGTTACCCTGCGTGATCGCGTAACCATTGCGACCCTCGTGCCCTTTCCCGCTGCAGCCGCATTACCGCATTCGCTCCTGGTTTACCTGTGCGATCAATTGAACAAAGAGATAGAAAAGGGTGATACGTATCCCATGGACAGTCCAATGTCTCTGGAGGAATTTGGCGCGCTTTGGTTTTCCAAGTTCGGGGCTGTGATGCTACTAGGCGAGGTTAAAGATGTCGCAGACGTGCAGTCAATGGGACTTTCCGGGGCAGACTGGAAAAAGACATGTTTGGGAAGCTTCAGTATAAAGCCGAATTATCCTGGTCGAAGTAGTCATGTCTGCAATGGGGCATTTTTGGTGACTGATGCATCGAGAAATCGTGGTGTTGGGCGGTTGATGGGAGAATGTTACCTTGAGTGGGCGCCGCAGCTGGTCTGCCTCCTGCTAGAACCCACGATTTATCATATGTGACTCAGGAGGCTAACTTGCGTAGGGGTACACCTATTCCGTTTTCAACTTAGTATACGAAACAAATGTTGCCTCATGCCGCATATGGGATGCTCTTGGTTTCAAACGCATCGGCAGGGTTCCCGGGTGCGGAAACTTAAAGTCATATCCGGGTCAATTAATCGATGCGATTATCTTTGGTCGAGATTTGGGCCCCGAAGGAGAGGATTTCGTTTCGGAGGAACGATTTGACAAGATTAGATATTACTTAAAGCATTCGAAATATCCAAGTGGCGCCGATCGAGCAGAAAAAAGCCGACTACGGAGCGCAGCAACGCACTATAAACTTGTTGGCGGACAGAATGGAGAACCGGAAAAACTCATGTTGAAAGATAAAGAGGTGGTATCAGACCCTCAGCAACAGTATGAGATTGCGCGCAAGGTTCATGAACAGCAACATGGCGGGATCAACAAAACAACGGCAAATATTGCCTTGAAATTCCATTGGGTCAGGATCAAAGAGACTGTGAGCATGGTAATCAAAAACTGTGAGAAATGTAAAGAATCTCCCAAGGCTCCAGTTCCTGTCACCGATATCCTAAGCTCCAGAAGAGATAAATCATCGACCCCTAGAGAACAGAAGAACGATATGTCTCCTAACAGATTCGGAACCCCCCCAGAGCAACTCTCTAATGTCCATCAATACATCAAGGAAGACCCCTTCGGTGGCCCTACAACACCTGTATTGCATGGTGCACTGGACGAAATGAAATTCCAAACGGAATCAGACGATATGGGAGAATATGCTGATATTCCCTTGGATCCTCAGATTATGGACGACATTCAGCATCACCTTCCGACCTTCCCGCACCATAGCGACGTGGATCCTTATGAACCCAATGGTCTTCATGAAACGCACGGCTTAGGCCATGACTTTGACCCTACACATTTACAGCATCACGACGGCACGAATGATTTTAGAATTGTTGAGGATGATGATACGTTAATAGCGTCGCAGGCGGCGGCTGCCCTACGAGACCAAACGATGCACCTGGTCGATACATCTCGACTGCATAATGAATCGCAATTGCACCGTGACCTCCTGGCAGCGGGCTTCGTTAGTCGGGAGGAGCCATCTCAGTTCGATGGTCGATATTAAAAACATTTTGGGATTGTAATTTTACATTGGAGGGGATTTCGTCTTTTAGCCTTGTGGAGCGGTAATGCGTACACTCTGGGAATGCGGCGTTACAAACAAGAGGATTGTTACCTTTGGAAGGCGTTGAATTATATATACTGCAACTGCCCATAGTTTCATTTCGGCTGAGCTTGTATGTACATTTGCCAATATTCTACGGAGTACCTAGTGCGATGCAATGTTTTATACGGAGTAATCCTTTTGAATATACAAGTTGAACTGTTTGATTTGTTTGCTATGTTTGACTAGTTTAGTTATCTAACTAGAGTCTAAACATGCAACCCTGAAGCTCAATTTTCCGGAGCTCAGAATTAACCCCACGCTTGGAATAACTCGCTGGACGTAATTAACCTGCGGCCATCTCACCCTTTCTTTACATTCTATACCACAAAACTGCTTCAAGCCTCCAATATACGTTCTTGTTTAGCGTCACACAAACCATTTCTCTCCAATCATGGCCTTCAGCGGCCAGACACCGACCATTATTGTTTTGAAGGAAGGTGTGTATTTACTATCTTTTCCTGATTAATACCCCAGGCATACATGCCCTAGCTAAGAGGGCAACAGTCTTTGTCATTGCTAAATGTTATATTTAGGAACGGACTCATCGCAAGGAAAAGGCCAAATACTGTCGAACATCAACGCCTGTCTTGCCGTTCAGTCAACAATTAAGGGCACATTGGGTCCATATGGTGGAGATGTATTACTCGTGGACTCCAATGGAAAGCAAACTATTACGAACGATGGAGCGACAGTAATGAAGGTGTGTAGTATCTTACCATTTGATTCGTCACGGAATATGTATCTTATACCAATCGATTTTAATATAGCTCCTTGACATCGTCCATCCCGCTGCCAGGGTTCTCACGGATATTGCCCGATCGCAGGATGCCGAAGTTGGCGATGGAACAACTTCAGTGGTTGTTTTGGCAGGAGAATTTCTGAAGGAGGTTCGCGAGTTTGTTGAACAAGGCGTGAGCTCACAAACTATTATTAAAGGACTGAGAAAGGCAAGCGCAATTGCGGTAAATAGGATTAAGGAAATTTCAGTAGATATGAAAGATGCTTCCGCCCAGGGCGGGATGCAGGTGGACACTTTGAGGCGGTTGGCAGGCACGGCCATGAATAGCAAACTGATCAAGCGAAATTCGGACTTTTTTACAAAGAGTAAAATACCCCTCTCTCCGCTTCTGCTTCTTTATTGCTGATCATAATGAATAGTGGTCGTCGATGCGGTTTTATCCTTAGATCAAGGCGATTTAAACGAAAAGCTCATTGGTATCAAGAAGGTTACTGGTGGCGCGTTACAGGATTCTCTTTTTGTGGACGGTGTTGCTTTCAAAAAGACCTTTTCTTACGCCGGATTCGAACAGCAGCCGAAATCATTTAAGGACCCAAAAATCGTTTGTCTGAATGTGGAGTTGGAACTTAAAAGTGAAAAAGATAATGCAGAAGTTCGAGTTGATCAGGTGTCGGAATACCAGGCTATTGTCGATGCGGAATGGCAGATCATCTTTAATAAACTTGAGGCACTTTATAATACGGGAGCGAAGGTAGTTTTAAGTAAATTGCCTATCGGCGATTTGGCTACTCAGTGCGTCCGAAGCTTTATAAAATATTTTCTATTGAGTTTCTACTGACAATTCTATTAGATACTTTGCCGATCGCGATATTTTCTGTGCTGGTCGAGTGTCTTCTGAGGATATGGAGCGTGTCAACCAAGCAACAGGCGCATCTACACAGTCGACATGCTCTGATATTCAAGAACGCCATCTTGGCACCTGCGGTTCTTTTGAAGAACGCCAAATTGGCGGTGAACGATTCAATATCTTTTCTCAATGCCCAGCGGCCAAGACCTGTACACTTGTACTTCGTGGTGGTGCTGAGCAATTCATTGCAGAAGCCGAGCGCAGTTTACATGATGCCATTATGATCGTGAAACGCGCCTTGCGCAACACCTCCGTAGTTGCCGGTGGAGGAGCCACAGAAATGGACGTGTCAAGTTATCTACATCTCTACGCTTACAAAAACGTGCCCAACAAGCAACAGGCGATTGTTAAAGCTTTTGCAAAGGCACTTGAAGTTATTCCACGACAGCTGTGCGACAATGCCGGCTTCGATGCTACGGATATCTTAACACGACTTCGCGTTCAACACCAAGCTGGCAATCTTTGGGCTGGTGTCGATTTCGACAATGAGGATGTGAGAGATAATATGAAAGCATTTGTGTGGGAGCCCAGCCTAGTGAAGGTCAATGCTATCCAGGCAGCGACCGAAGCCGCATGCCTGATTTTGAGTGTTGATGAGACTATTAGTAAGCTTCCCTTTCAGTATTCGTTCCATTATTACTTAGTTGGGTCATATCCTAATGCTGTTTCTTCAATTAGAAAACCAAGAGTCTGCTCAGCCACAGGCTCCAACCAAGCCATTGCCACGAGGAGCGGCCCAGAGAGTCTTAGGTAGAGGACGGGGCATGCCTCGACGATGAACGACGTCAGCTAATACAAAAGTAATGATCACTAGGGTGCTTGGGCACTAGATAGGTTCAGCAATGCTATGGAAACACTGGTCCCGCCCTGTCGTAATGCAAGTTTCGTAGCATTCATTGATTTAGACTGTGTGTTCCCCGTCTGCCACCGTCGGGTTTCCTGGGTGGCAAAACACTGCTGAGTCAGCGCTGCCCTACAGCAAGGAGCCGCGTTATCAGACCGCTAATTGGCCCGCTCGGGACTAGCCTGGCCACCGCTGGCCCGGCCTGCCCCCGTAAGGCCGCCCGTGTGCTTGTCCCGCCAACGTCAGCCCCTCCTTCGTCGGTTCACACTTCACGCTGACAACATCCATCGCGGCCACTGCTTAACTGAGCGGCCTTTTGTTTGTTTCTCAAGTCTTTTGTCCCTGGACCGTGTCTTTATCGGATTTTTGCCCGACGCACAGTGCCTGCGCATCCCCGGTTGGGCAGCTCTTGTCCCTCCATCGCCCTCGCCGACTCAGCCGCGCTTGGTGTCCACCTTCGGGTTTTTAAGTGCGGTTCAGCCCTCCGTTGCTTTTGCAATTTTCTCGCGACATCCCCAGCTGATATAAAGTAAGAATATCGCTCGCTTCGTCGGTCTATTCTTTTCCCGCGCACAGTGATTTTGAATACTCTGTTTTCGGAGAATCGAGTCTGCGCGATTCCCATATTCGCGTGTGTATCTGGTTCTTTGGAGATCCCCGCAGTCACCGCGTCAACGTCAGGTAACCAGTGATCGATTCAAGTGATCCTTAAATCACCATCATTCTCGTGTTTGCGGCTTGTCAGCTAGCTACCTAGACTATCGTCTGTCTTGCCTTTCAGTACCTACACCAGGCTCCACAAATATGTCCTATTATCCTCCATACCAAGGAGGCGCCCCTGGGTACCCCCCACAGCAGTATTCGTCTTATGGAGCAATGCCGTGAGTCAAGATAGCCGTAACTTTGAAGCTATAGCTCGTTGACACTGTACCAGACCTAATAATGGACCGCCCTCCTACCCTCCGGGTCAATACGGACAGCCTCCACAAGGCTATCCTCCACAAAGACCTCCATATGGCGTGAGTAGCCAACTGAAACTCTTAACAAACCTGGCTAATCTGTTGAGCTTCAGGCCCCTCCACCCTCCGGGTACGGACACCTACCTCCTGCAGGGCCTAATAGTGGCCCAAATTTCCATGGACAGCCAGGTGAGAAAGCACAGCCCTTGCCAATATACATACCAGCCAGCTTATTCGGTATTCAGGTATTGCCACGGTAACCAACAATAGCTACGTCCAGGGAAATCATAATGCGCCACCTCCACCTCCTACCGGTGCTGTAGCCTTTGGTCATGGCGCTCCCCAGGGCTACAGCTATCAGTACTCCAACTGTACAGGCAAAAGAAAGGCCCTTCTTATCGGTATTAACTACTTCGGCCAACGAGGTCAGCTGCGAGGCTGTATTAACGATGTGAAGAATATGTCGACCTATCTGAACCAGAGCTTTAATTATGCAAGGGAGGATATGGTTATTTTAACTGACGATCAACAAAACCCGATGAGTCAACCTAACAAAGCAAATATTTTACGTGCGATGCATTGGCTAGTGAAGGATGCGCGACCAAATGACTCTTTATTCTTCCACTATTCCGGTAAGTCATTGAATATTTATCCAACTTCATCCATGGCTAACTAGTGTGTATACAGGTCATGGTGGCCAGACCCCAGACTTAGATGGGGACGAAGACGATGGGTACGATGAGGTAATCTACCCAGTTGACTTCAGAAACGCGGGTCATATCGTAGACGACGAGATGCACAGAATCATGGTCAAATCCTTGCCTCCAGGAGTGCGATTAACAGCAATATTTGATTCTTGCCATTCCGGTTCCGCTCTTGATCTTCCATATATCTATTCCACGCAAGGTGTTCTCAAAGAGCCCAACCTTGCCAAAGAGGCTGGTCAAGGTCTCTTTGATGTGGTGTCTGCCTATGCCCGTGGCGATATGGGCGGTATGGTCTCGACAGCTATGGGATTCATCAAGAAAGCGACTCGAGGTGATGACGCATATAAAAAGACCATGGAAACCAAAACCAGTCCAGCAGACGTAATCATGTGGTCTGGTAGTAAAGACGTTCAAACTTCTGCAGACGCGACAATCAATGGCCAAGCCACTGGTGCCTTATCGTGGGCATTTATTACGGCATTGAAAAAGAATCCTCAGCAGAGCTATGTTCAGCTTTTGAACAGCATTCGGGACGAGCTCTCTGCGAAGTATTCGCAGAAGCCGCAGCTGAGCTGCAGCCACCCGCTTGGTAAGCTCCAGTCCTCGTACTATTACTAGATTTTATTGCAAGGCTAATTGTACATACTAGACACAAACCTCTTATACGTTATGTAAGAGCTTTCTATGATGTGAGGCTCTCAGGAAAGTTATTAATAGCTTTCAGAGATGCTTCAAGCCTTGGGCAGACATCAGAAACTACCTCACATTCTAGAAGTACGATGATTATGTCCTAGAATCAGGCAGAACTCTTGCATCTCTAAATGCCTTTGTTTCTATGTTTGATGTGCTAGCACAGTTATAAAATATTTGATGTCTGTGTCTTATGCTTATCTTCGTTGCGATTAATTTTTGATGATAATGTGTTTACCTGGTGACGGCCAAGTCAGGGAGAAAAATTGCTGGTCAAGTCATCTGGTATGATTATCTCTCAACTACATCTTCAACTGAATCTTTTCATGAGCTCAGGCCTTGTCCATGTTCTTATTTATTCCATGTTTTTAATGTTGTATGTGAGAAGAGCAAAAGGTATGGGACTCAAATGGAGTTGTAAGTTTTTGTTTTGGGCCTATGGTAGGGAAGAATACAACATGTTTTCTACTAGGTGGTGTGATTGAACATAAATCTCCAACATTTAGAATTCCCACTATGCCTAAATGTGCCAATATATATGTTTTCTGCTTCCGTGGTAGTATGAGAGGGGGGATCTAGAAAATGTCGAACATCCTATCAGCAATGTAGTTAATAAAGCAAAAATATAGTAGATGGATAATGCACTGACAACCCACAACAGCATTATCGCACCTCAGACCACGGTTCTCAAAGGATTTTAATTGGAAGATGCTGCAGGTTGAACAGGTGTTCCACCGGGTCCTGGTGATTCAAGTCGTATAATGTTAAGCATAGTGAAATATTCTTCCTTATATGTGTGTGGGAAGGCAGATTGAAGATGTATCGCATAATCCGGCATCTTCTTCTTCCCCGGCATATCCAAATACATCCAAACAAAATCCCAGTATTCGGGATACCATCCCGCCCACTCCCAGTCAAGGATTGCAGTTATATGACCATCATCATTCACCAGGATGTTTCTTGGGCTTAAGTCGCCATGGGCAAAATGAATTCCATGGTTATCAGCAGGGCGATCCTGGGCACCTGCAGCCAGGAAGTCATTAAATTCCTTCTCATTATCAAAAGGGCCCCCCCAGCGCGATTTGTAAAAGCCAGTCCTGACCTTGTCATTATTCACTGACTCGATTCGCTCACTCGTCAAATTTCGGAGTTGGGTAAGGTAATCACCAAGTTGACGGCATGTGGAGGCTCTTTGAGCATCATTCAACTCCTTCCAGACTTTGTCTAGTGGCTTTCCAGGAACGTAATCCATCACAATGTATGAGACATTCTTCTCTTTGTCAAACTTGGTGTCGTGAACCTTTGGCACAGGAATAGTTGTGTTGGTAGTAATAAATTGCATCGCGTCCGTTTCCCGACATTCATGACGGCCTTTCTTCAACACTCGGTGTTCATCTAGACGAAAAATATGGGGAATTATAGAATTGCCAAGCTCCTGGCCATAGCCAGCTAAAAACGCCTTGTTAGTCTATAGCATCAGAGGATGTGGGCACCAAAAGCAGGATAGTGAGCGAGGAACCTTTTGGGGTGAATGGGTTCATGTAGATCACGGTGGGATTTATTTGCAGTGATGCAGTGTGGGAAACGACAGCCTACAACTTTGTAAGAGGTTCACCATTTTACTTGAGTGTAGTTAGTTGTGTATGCAGTTAGTCATCCAACATCCCATGTGCTTTATGCTTTGCAGAATGATTGCAGCTTCCAGTGGCCTAGTATTAACCGCTGTTCGTTGGCACCAGCCTCTCTAATTTCATGGCGTTGGGGTAAGGAAGAAAGACCCTGCCTTTTATGGGAAGTATTGGGGGCAAAAGCGGCCCACCGGACCACTTAGCCCACCGGGTCAATAAGTGGCCTTTCACCGGTTCTTTATCGGCTCCCTGTGGCAACGAAGGGGGTTGCATTGGTATAGTAAGGACTCTGCATTGGAGGTTTCTAGTAGACATGCATATCAGATAGTTGTTGAGCTCACAAAGGGATGCTTAAGAGCCATCTCAGCTGTTGGCCGCTGTGCTGGGTCAATTACAAGAAGATGCTCAATGAAATCAATACAGGCTTCAGAACATATCTCCCGTGGTAGCTTTAACAATTCCTCTCGTAGGGTACCTACACTTATATAAGGTTTTGCTTCACCTGTTTCAGGGTGTAAGTATCCACCACCCTCGAGGGCCTCTGCGAGAGCAAATTCATCCTTGAAATCGGGATTCTCTGGTGGCTCGATGTGCCAAACAAGCCTGAATATTTTGGCTAAGCACCAAGCTGTCTGATGATCCTGGATTATCTTATTCCAAGGGCCAAAAAGGGGGGGTTGATATCAACCAATGTGCAATCTGTATCCATGTCAGGCCAGTACTTCAAAAGTATATGGAGCTATCTGGCGTACAGTGACACCCAAAGACCATATGTCTGACGAATGCCATACACCAAAACCCTGCCAAACCTCTGGAGCACGCGTTTCATGAGTCTGAGCACCCTGGAAATTTTTGGCGACTCCTTCTGAGAATGCTTTTCAATGTCTTAGTATGCAAAGAGGGTCTGCTTGTTTTGGACTTAAATGAAAAACATACCGTTGTCTAAATCTCCGAGTTTGACCGTCGGTATCGGTGCGCCCAGGTTTGAGATAAATATATTGTTTGGGTTTACATCTGGAGGAATGATAAGTCTTCGATCAACAGTCTAAGGAAGATGGAATGACATACCTGTATGGACTCCTCTTTCCTGTTTGAAAACAACGAGAGCTTCTAGTATGGACTTGCTGACAATAGCAGGTAGTTGCTGGTTTGCGAATGGGTTTCCAAAGGGACGAATTTGCCACAGATCCGTGTCCATCCATTCAAGAACAATCCGTTTGTTCACTGATGATTCTGATGGAGTCCAGTCATCCTTCTCGGATTTTTCAATGATATCAATCGCCTGACGAATATACTTGCACGATTGTATACTTGGCAGCTGATGCACGCGCAGCTCACGTTCTAACTGAAGGTCCTTGACCACAACACTGTTTGCAGAAACAAAGTCATCAGAAAGTGGCACAAACTGAGTTATTCAAGATGCCAATGAAGTCATACAATTCACCGCTAGATTTGGGGTATAGGCCTGAGAATGTACTTATTGCGGGTGTAGGGTTAGAGCTATTAGACGCCGGTAAAACAACAGCTTTATGGAGTGAAGGGGGTTTCAACAGCTCAAGTAGTTTATATGACGCTTTCTGACCCTTGAGTATTCGGTTAATAGAAGGGGCCATTTGGACAGATATGGTGGCACTTGGAGAGTTATGTATTCTGTAGATAGGTAGTTAAGTCATGGCTTAATTCCTTTGTATTTGTTTTTTTAGATAGGATAACTACATAATGAATGATCTGGATACTCCGTACATTTTTGTTCCAATGCAGCTTGTAGCTACCTAGTGGTTAACTACACTGTACATATTCCTTCCATACATAGAAGTACCTAGTTAGAAATGAGCTCTTATGTTGTTATGTAACTACATAGCTATGTACCTAAAGCCCTTATTGTGTAGTAAAGACCGAAACTTTATTCACTAACTAGTTAACGACATATGTAACTCTCCATACGGAGTACTCCATACTACTACCACATTCGGCTACCGGGTGATCATCAACTCGACTGTCCCTAATTTCACTTCAAAACCAGCTATTACTGTTGAGTGCAGCGATGGAGGCTTTTCCTCCCTCATATGAACATGCCACTGTGAGAGATGTATGGGCTATCATCGCACCGTATATCCCTTCTGCAGACCTGTATACTGCTTGTCTAGTGTCTAAAGAATGGTATGAAGTATTTTGCCCTTTTCTATGGGGTGTGCCGACCTCACATTTTGAGGTGGATGATGACGATGATGCTGCTGTGTATGGTATATCACCTCCCCAACACTATAGAATAGGCTGTTTCCTGGGCTAATTGCATTGATTCCGGCGAAATCTCGAGCCGGTTAAAGTTGCTCTAAATCACTTCAGAAGAGTATTGAAAAGATGTCGGCAGCAGGTGCGGGAACTTACGCATACTCTGCGTTTTCCCCCTCCGCCGTCTGATATATACGGCGCGCCCACAGGAATGTGGCTAGTCGAAATTTTAGAATATCTACCAAATTTGCAATCATTAATTGTTCCAGGGTTGCCCTTTTTTGATCACCGTTCGCTCACAGCGCTGGGCAGTGTGGGTTCTAACCAATATTGTCAGAAACAGACGTATAAATTACGTTTGCTACTTGCAAGTCACGAGCAAAATACCACGACAGTCGGACTACGGAATGCGTTGCAACAGCTTCCAAAACTAGTGTATCTAGACATATCCTACACAACGGCTGCCCGAGATCCTGAAGTGCTCTCTTCACTTTCGCCACTTCGTGAATTGCAGGTGCTGAAACTACGGGGCATTGGGCTGAGGAATGACGATGTTGACGTATTAGCGGAAGCCATTGGAACTAAAATACGATTTTTAGATATCCGGGATAATTTAATAAGTGATCATGGTCTGAGAGGATTGATTCGAAATTGTTTTTTGCGACCCGATTCGCAAAGCGACTTCTTTGAACAGGCAAATTATCAGTTTGAATGGTGCCTGCCAACTATGCGATTTGGGCATATTTTAACACCCGATTCATGGACGAGCGAATACCTTGATGCCCACTTCTTTGGACAACTCACTCTACGGCTAGATGGCAGGTCAGTATTAGAGGATATTCCCCATGTTGGTATTACGCATTTGTATATTTCTGGGAACCACTTGTCCAGTCAGGGAGTGTTCAACCTTCTTAGTATTGGTAGCCTTGTTGTTTTCGACGGTGGAACAGTTGACGGGCCTGACAAGAGCCCCATATTTTCAGATAAAGGCCCTCTCAACGGCGCAGAAAAGCTCATATCAATCCTCCGCCAACCTGCGACCAGAAAACTTACGTACCTGCGAATTCATCATGCCATTGTGCTGAGAAATGTTCTCGTACAGCACAGCACAGGCTTACCTGCTCTTCCGCAAGAGCAGCCAATTAATTCACTTTCTGCGGAGACATTTAGTTATAGAAAGCAACGGCCATGTTTTGAAGCTGCTTCGACGTCTGTGTATGGTCTTGGGAGTACGTTGGTTGCGGATCCATTTCGCCCCAATCCATCTGAAGTACAACAAACAGATAGCCCAATACAAGCTGTGCCTGGAACCGCATTAACAACCTCGGTAAATCCTGAAAACATCACACCACTTGAGATCTCAGACCATCTTTTGGGCCACCACCAGACTCCAATAGTACAGTCACCTTTGTCCCCGCAATTACGAGATCGTCTCGTTCAAGAACTAATTGCGAAACGCCCTCTAATTCCCGGGATATCTGAGTGCCGAAGCGAAGAATACTTCACGCCATTTCATCCTTCAAGTCTTCCCAACCTCCAATCCTTGGTTCTCACTGATCTCCCGTCTTGTGCCCCCGCTACATCCCCCTTGTTATCCTCCCTCAAAAGCTTTATCTCGGCATGCGCTGATGAAGCCTGTCTGGCTTCATTACAAGCCGAATCAAACTACTCTCTTCCCCCAGGGTTATCGCGGGCTAAAGCAGAGAAGCAACTTGCAAAATCTCTATTTGCTCTAGAAAGTATAGTTCTAGAAGTTGCTCCGGCCCGAAAACCCCAAAACCCTAGCCTCTGGCCCCTTTCCATTCATAATATATCTATGCATTCAAAGTCTAGCACGGGAGATAGGGACTCGGAGAATCTGTGGGCTGCAGCTGCAAATGATTTTAGCTTCTTTGTCGGAGAAAGGTGTGGTACACCAATGGTTGCAGAGGCTGTAGGTGAGAAAGAGTCCCCGGCAGCACATGGTGATAACTCAAAGCAGCCAGTCACACAAAAGCCAGAAACGTTGAATAGTTCTATAAGCCATCATGAAGCTGTACCAAGACAGCATTCAGGCACAAACTTGCCTCAATCGCGTGACTATGTCAGCCAAGCCTCCATGGGACCGGAAGTAGACCTCGTCATGGCCCTGGCATCTTTTCGTAGAGAAAGGAAGGCGGTATATAATAGCCTATTGAATAGGGAAAAGCAAGCCGAACTTCGAACGGAAACTATACCAAGTCATGTCGAAGGTCACTGGAAGGGGGATATTAAGATTGTAAGGATCTAAATAAAAAGTTGGAATAATCAAGATGGATGTCAAGCAATCTGGGCTTACTGGTAAGCCCAGTAATATCCCGGTTCTTGAAGGCTTGACTAAAATATAGCATTAGTAATGGAAAGAACGAATGCATCTCCTGGCGCATATCAACATGAATGAACACTTGCTTCCAGTATATAGAAGACTCGTTGATGATGACTCATGAACTTCTGATCCAGAGTAAGGGCATTTTGAGGTCGTTCACGAAGCGAAACGAAACAGACATCAAAGCAAGTCTTGCATTGCATGCAGAGAGGCTGTGGTATTTCTAACCCACAGTATCTGCCGGTTCGATACATATTCGTTTCCTTTTAAAACACTGATACCAGGGGCGCACGGGAAGAAAAAAGTAGCATGATACATGAAAAAACATTAAATCATCCCTTTCCTGTTTTGGTGTTTTATGCTCAAACCCAGCCTGTAGAAACGTCATTTGTATTTTTCCCACATGTACCATGTGAACTTAGTTACTTCTCGCCCCTAGGCACCTTGGAAACAGCGCACGCGGTCATGGAGGCCCGGAATTGAGGTGGCATTTATGCCTTAGCAGTCTTAGCAGCCTGCTGGGGGTTCAGCTTCTTCACATCCTTTTGGAATCGCATTCTTGGAGGAGGAGCACGATTGCGGCGACCTTCCCGGGATCGAACACTTTAAGAGACCCGACATCAGTACCATTGTTCCACATATGTGAATATTTCGATCTTCATCCGGGCAAAAGTGGGAGGAATTCTGTTCCGTACCGTACGATCTTTCCGTGAATGGCGCAAGAGACACAATACTGCAGCTTCAAGTACATCTTTGGGACAGTGTACTCATCAAAAACGGAGGCATCCGAGATATCACCTGTATTATCCAACGAATTCAAAATGGTTAGTCAATTCGAAATTTCAAGTCTCTGTCGCCAGAAACTGAATAGGTATAAACTGGCAGTTACGTACGGACGGCAGCGGACTCGACCATGTTGCGGATGGTGAATCTCTTGATAGCCTTGTCCTTGGGTGTGCATCTCGAGCAGTTGGAGCAGCGAATTGGCTTGACGTGACCACGTCCCTTCTTGTTGCGTCCGCTGTAATAAAACACAAGAACAATTTGTTAGCCCTTCCATAATTTCTAAACTCTCTCCCAATTGGAGAGTTGTATTTATCAATGGAATTTGATCACCCACTTCGACGCTCGCTTCTTGACCATTTTGGCGGTGGCTTTTTTCCCTTCAGTCAGAAATCGACAAACGAGGAAACTTCGGAGGGCGCGCGAGGGCGACGAGAGCAGCGCTTCGGAGGTGTTGGTGCTTGTCGGGAGGTCGGATTGTTCGCTCGCTTCTCGACCAGCTTGAGCTCGCCGGTTTGTCGTTGTGGGCGCCGCACCCTAAGCGAGCCTAGTGAGTCACGGGACCGAGAGGCTTATTTTAGGCCTAGCGCGCCAAGCTGTCGTTGTTTATTCACGTGGTTGCCCCGTGCCCCGAACCACCCGACTTGGTGTTGTTGCCGTTGCAAAATCGGGCATTCTCGACATTAGCAACCCTGTCTCCCGATTCGTTATCGCACTTACTTTTCAAACGGGCGAGGGAGTCCGACGTTTGATATCCTGTCATCTACTACGTCGTTGATACATCTGAGCAGTATACTCGTTCAAGATGTCTGCCGGCACCATTCGAAATCGAACCATGGGTCGCGGCCAGCTACCTTTTGATGGTGCCCCGTCTGCTATACCCCGAAAGGTCGACCATTCTAGCACGCAGAGTATACCGTCTGATGTTGGAAGTTCTACGCTGAGTGCTAGTAGACAAAAACAAACAAAACGAGATGAGGTACATGTCTTGTCCACTGACAACCCTCTCCCACTTCCTCCCTTAAACTCACTGTTATTGGAGTTTATGCATTAATAAGACGAGATAGGCCATTAGGAAAAAGCTGGAGGCAGATCTTAATAAGAAAAGATTCACTCCAGCCCGGGCTCGATCCACCCGCAAAGCTCCCCCTGGTACCGTTCTCGCCCTGAAACCCAGCCAGGCGCTTCAGATCAAACCCAGCACAACAGTAGCAGAAGCAGCCCAGATGATGGCTGCTAAAAGAGAAGATTGCGTTCTTGTAACCGACGACGACGAACGAATCGCCGGTATATTTACAGCCAAAGATCTGGCTTTTCGTGTAGTGGGGGCCGGAATAAGGGCGAGAGACATTACCATTGCAGAAATCATGACGAAGAACCCGCTATGTGCCCGAACCGATACTAGTGCTACTGACGCGTTAGATTTAATGGTCCGGAAGGGCTTTCGTCACCTCCCTGTTATGGACGAGAATCAGGATATCTCCGGTATCCTCGATATCACCAAATGTTTCTATGATGCCATGGAAAAACTTGAACGCGCATATAGCTCCTCTCGTAAATTATATGATGCTTTGGAAGGCGTGCAGTCTGAGCTTGGAGCTTCCCAGCCGCAACAAATTATTCAGTATGTTGAGGCATTAAGACAAAAAATGTCCGGGCCCACGCTGGAGTCTGTTTTAAATGGCCTGCCACCGATTACGGTATCGGTGCGCACGTCGGTAAAGGACGCCGCTGCACTAATGAGAGAGCATCACACTACTGCCCTTTTAGTGCAAGATCAGGGTTCAATCACCGGCATTTTCACCAGTAAAGATGTTGTCTTGAGGGTTATTGCCCCAGGGTTGGATCCTGCCACCTGCAGTGTTGTGAGAGTGATGACTCCTCATCCCGATTTTGCCCCAACCGATATGAGTATACAAGCTGCCCTTCGAAAAATGCATGGTCGGTTTTTCTTTTTTTAAACTTCCCGTGTCTTTGGATTTTCTCACTAACTGGCTACCAGACGGGCACTACTTGAATCTTCCTGTTATGAATGAATCAGGAGAAATTGTTGGTATGGTTGATGTTCTTAAATTAACATATGCCACATTAGAGCAGGTATATCCTTCCATACCTAATATCAATTTCAAGGCCTGTTAATGTTTCTAGATAAATACGATGCAAACGAATGAAAATGAAGGTCCTGCATGGAACAAATTCTGGCTTTCCATGGACCATGAGTCGGACTCGATGGTCTCTGGAGGAGGTCATAGTCAAACACCTCGTCGATCTCTACTCAGTACTGACCTAAGAGACCGCGGAGATAGCGTTCTTCCCAATGAATCTGCATCACACCACGGAGAAGATGTACACTCAGAGATATTGGAGACGCGGCCAGCCGCAAACGAGGACGCTCCATTCCCGTTCAAATTCAAAGCACCCAGTGGACGTGTTCATCGACTTCAAGTCGTTCCATCGACTGGCGTTGCAGGCCTTGTTGCTAACGTATCAAGCAAACTAGGAGCTGAAGTTGATGCTGTTGGTGGTGACGCCATTGTGGAGGAAGGGCGAATGAGTAACAGCGGATATGCCCTTAGCTATTTGGATAATGAGGGCGACACGGTGTCTATTACAACTGACCAAGACCTTCTAGATGCTATCATACAGGCCAGAAAAGCGAGGCAGGAGAAGGTCGATCTTTTTGTCCATGATCCGGAAAAACCGCCGCTACTTGTACAGGAACCACAGCCGGCTATCGTCAAAGCATCAACTCCATCTGAGATCGTGACAAGGTCGCCAGCAGCAACGGAAGAAGACCCCCAGAGCCCGGCGGAGCCAATCCGTACCGAAAAAACCGTTGTCCAAACGTTAGCACAAACACCTGCAGACCAACAGTTAATACAGGGTGTACCCAACGAGCTTATCTTGCCAGGGGCTATCGTAACCCTTGCTGCTGTCATCTTGAGTGTGTTTGTTTTAAGTCGAGCTGGAAAGCGATGACCTCCATAGTCATGACTTTTGTTCAACGGTGTAGAACTCTGTTTGGAATTGGCGCTAAATGTTACTAGACTTTTCTTTTGCTGCTTTCTCCAGTATTTTATTTCTAATACCCTTTACCCCTCCGTCGAAACGTTAGCCAAAGTACCCAGACTTGAAAACACCCGGTTATATACTCGCAAATAAACGGAAATTGGTTGCAAACAGGTCATCCATAACAAACAAAGCAAACATGGCTCGCGCGATAGGACTAGCGCCAGAGGTCCATTCACGCCCTAAACTTTTTTCAAACATGCAGTAAATATCACTTTACAACCATCCCACTTCCATGCGCGTTGCTGTGAAACATCGCACACCTTGCATTTGTTTCCCAGGCTTAGGCCCAGCAGCAGCACGCATGCTTGGTTATTTATTACCTAGTTTTACCGTCTAAACTACCCCATCATTGCGACAGTTCCCCTAAATATTGTCGTGACACGGTTGGCCACACTGGAGTTGCTCTGTGTGCCTTGACACAAAGCCACTTTGTCTGGCGCACAGCATCTTTTGCTTTCATTTCTGACTTGAACTCTTCTAGCTGCTCTGGATCAACTTCACTGTGAGCAGGATGTCTATTCTACCACCCGAAATTCACACTGCTCTATCTCAGTTATTGCTGGGGCTAGCGACACCTGACAACCTGGTACGCACACAAGCCGAGGAGCGACTAAATAATGAGTGGGTTCAAGAGCGCCCAGATGTCTTGCTTATGGGACTAGCTGAACAGCTGCATGCTGCGGAGGATTCCAATGTAAGTGAGCGCGGGGTAGTTGCAACAAAGCTTGCCCTTCACCATTTCAAATGAACTGTTGCGAATGCATTCTGATGTGACTATCATTGCGTTACTAGACACGAACATTTGCTGCTGTTCTATTTCGAAGGATAGCTGCGCGGTCTGTGAAAGACCCTAATTCGACCGACTCAAGAAGACTGTTCTTCACCCTTTCCCCCGACCATAGAATAGCTATTCGACAAAAATTACTGCAAGCTTTGAACGGTGAAAGCGTATCAAATGTGCGCAACAAAGTTGGAGACGCGGTGGCCGCTATCGCCGAACAATACACAGAAAGCGGTATGAATAGTCCAGCGATGAGAATAGAGACATATAGTATTCGTATTGGCTTGATTTGCTGATACCTTTGGAATATAGGGGAACCTTGGCCCGAACTTCTTGGAGTTCTGTTTCAAGCCAGCCAGTCTTCGGACACTGGCCTTCGCGAATCCGCTTTCCGCATCTTCTCCACTACACCGCGGGTCATTGAGAAGCAGCACGAGGAGACGGTTCTTGGTGTTTTTATGAAGGGGTTTAAAGATGAACACATCTCGGTATATACCCTTGAATAATACTTGAAAGATCTGGCTAACAAACTTTTTTACAGGTTCGAATCTCTGCAATGGAAGCTTTTGCATCGTTCTTCGGTTCTCTACATAAGAAGTCCCAGTCAAAATATTTTTCTTTAGTTCCAGATCTTCTGAATATTCTTCCTCCACTCAAGGAAGCTGATGAAAGCGAGGAACTCTCCAAGGCCTTTGTTTCCCTTATAGATATTGCTGAACTCTGCCCTAAGATGTTTAGGCCCCTTTTCAATAATCTTGTGAAGTTTAGCATTAGTGTCATTGCTGACAAAGAGTTGTCAGACCAAGTCAGACAAAATGCATTAGAGCTCATGGCCACATTTGCAGACTATGCGCCAACGATGTGCAAGAAGGATCCTGACTTCGCAAAAGACATGGTGACGCAATGCCTAAGCTTGATGACAGATGTTGGCTTAGATGATGATGATGCAGCTGAGTGGGGAGCATCGGAAGATGTGAGTTTATGATTTATTATTGTTTTTCCACCACTAACACCTTTGAAAGCTTGATCTTGAAGATAGTGACAAAAATCATGTTGCTGGTGAACAATGTATGGATCGACTTGCCAACAAACTTGGCGGCGAAATTATTCTTCCTCCTACATTCAATTGGGTACCACGGATGATCTCTTCGGCTGTTTGGCGAGATAGGCATGCTGCCCTCATGGCAATTTCTGCCATCTCCGAGGGCTGCAGCGACTTGATGGTCAATGAGTTGCAACAAGTCCTTGCACTTGTTATCCCTGCCCTTCAGGACCCACACCCACGGGTAAAATTTGCAGGCTGCAATGCCCTTGGCCAGATGAGCACTGATTTTGCCGGCACTATGCAAGAGAAATATCATTCTGTGATTCTCGGAAACCTCATTCCGTCCCTAAACTCGGAGCATCCCCGAGTTCAAGCTCATGCCGCAGCGGCTCTTGTCAACTTTTGTGAAGAGGCAGAGCCAGCAATCCTTGAACCATACCTTGAACAGTTGCTGGGTCATCTTGTTCGGCTACTTCAGAGTCCGAAGAAGTTCGTCCAGGGACAAGCACTCTGTACGATCGCCACGATCGCCGACTCTGCAGAAGCTACATTCGCGAATTATTACGACAGGTTGATGCCAATGCTGTTCAATGTCTTAAGAGAAGAACAATCTAAAGAATACAGAGAAATTCGTGCGAAAGCTATGGAGTGTGCTACTTTGATAGCATTAGCTGTGGGCAAAGATAAAATGGGTCAGGATGCCTTAACCTTAGCACAATTGCTCGCCCATATCCAGCAAAATATCACCGATGCGGATGATCCACAGTCTTCGTATCTTCTACACTGCTGGGGGCGTATGTGCCGCGTCCTTGGGACCGACTTTGTTCCTTACCTTCCTGGAGTTATGCCACCATTACTTCAAGTGGCCGCTGCGAAGGCAGATTTACAAATTCTTGATGATGAGGCACAAATCCAAGAGGTTGAGCAAGATGGCAAATGGGACTTGCTTCCACTGAAGGATAAGGTTATTGGAATTAAAACAAGTGTCCTTGAGGACAAGAATGTGGCGATCGAGTTGATTACAATTTACGCACAAGTTCTCCAGGCTGCGTTTGAGCCTTACGTTGTCGAGCCGTTGGAAAAGATTGCACTACCTGGTCTGACATTCTTCTTTCACGACCCTGTTAGAGTGTCGTGCGCCAAGCTTATCCCTCATTTGCTTAACGCATATAAGAAGGCCCATGGTGATCGATCTCCTGAATTTTATCAGTTGTGGTCTAAGACTGTTGAAAAAATTATTGAGTGTTTAAGCGCGGAACCCTCCGTCGATACTCTGGCCGAAATATTCCAGTGTTATTATGAATCCTTGGAGGTAGCGGGCAAAAACAGTCTGACTCAAGATCAAATGCAAGCTTTTGTTGAAGGCACCCGATCAACCTTGGAAGACTATCAGATCCGCGTAAAGAGACGAATGGATGAGAAAGCTGAAGTGGAAGAAGGTGATGACGAGACGTTATCATTCGAATATGAAGTCGAAGAAGACCAGAATTTACTCAGTGATATGAACAAGGCTTTCCACACGACCTTCAAGAACCAGGGATCGGACTTCTTACCAGCCTGGGAGCGTATTTTGCCATTTTACGATGTCTTTGTTGTGAGCGAAGAACCAACACAACGACAGTGGGCTCTTTGCGTTATAGATGACGTACTCGAATTCTGTGGTGAGCATTCATGGAACTACAAAAACCACATTTTGCAGCCTTTGATCAACGGCATGCGAGATGACAATGCGGCCAACCGCCAAGCAGCTTCATACGGTGTTGGTGTTGCAGCTCAAAAAGGTGGGGCTGCTTGGAGTGAATTTGTGGCAGCCAGTATCCCTACTTTGTTCCAAGTCACACAGCATGCAGAAGCCCGATCTGAAGACCATGTTTTTGCTACTGAGAATGCTTGTGCTAGCATTGCCAAAATTTTACATTTCAATGCCAGCAAAGTGCAGAATCCTCAACAAGTTGCTGATAATTGGGTCAATACACTTCCGATCTTAAATGACGAAGAAGCTGCCCCCTATGGCTACTCTTTTCTTGCGCAGCTTATCGACCAGTAAGCCCCTTTGTTCCTTCTACAATACTCTTGCAACTATTGCTAATCATCTGGCCAGGCAAAACCCTGCTGTCTTAACACATGCCCAGAATGCTCTCACCTATGTTGTTCAGGCCCTTGACGCTGAGACCCTACAGGGTGGCATTGCGGAAAGAGTTGTGGTTTCGGCTAAAAGACTATTAACAGTACCAAACGTGAATCTGGAGCAAGCTCTGAGTAACGTCCGTCCAGAGAAACAGATGGTTCTGCGCAGATATTTTCAATAAATAACAAGCCTTTGGAATTGTTTATCCCCTGCTAAAATTCACGGTCCCCCCTTTCTTCAGTCTCAGTATTGACTACTGCCACCAACCTCCCTCTTCCCCTTGCCCCTCAAACCACTCTGCAGCGCCCTGCAGTTTTTCATGTCTCGCTATGCCCTGTAATGTTTGCAAAATCATCCAACAAAACCTTTAGTTAGTCTTGTGGTGTTCAGCATTTGGTTCGTTAGAGCCTTTGTTTTCAGAGCCGAACTCCCCATGATATTTACAGTCCTACCAGCACAGAAAACATTATTTTCTTAGCATTCAAGATAGTGGATTTGAAATACCAGATGATTCGGTAGCTTCTCAACTAGCTTTACCAACCCCGCATTGGCAAGATGCATATACGTAGCTTAATAATAGCCTGGTATAATGCAAGATCCAGGAAAAATGCCACTGTTGATTTGACTATACGACGATTGAATCTCAATATAGCCGATTTACACTCCCCCAGGAAATGACCGAAGGAACCGCATCCTCCCCAGGCCTCGAGCCGCAGAAGGTCCTTGTTTTCGGTGCAACTGGTCTTATCGGATCTAAGATTCTCAGCGCTTTGGTCGCGATAAAAGCCCACCTCGAGTCAATAGCAGTATTTACTTCGCTGACGACTTTGGAGAAGAAATCAGAATTTCTTGACGATCTCAAAAACGAAGGCATCCGTGTGATCACTGGAAATCTAAACAACGAAGATGATATTCGTCGTGCTTATCAAGGCATTTGCCCCTCACCGATGGCAACTTGATCTTACTTCAGGATGGGGTTGCTGACCCAAGACAAGGGATTGACACTGTCATAAGCGCCCTAGGTAGAGAAGTCCTATCTTCTCAAATTCCTTTGATTCGACTTGCTGCCTCGCCGTCGAGCTCAGTCAAGTGGTTCTTCCCATCAGAGTATGGGACAGATATCGAGTACTCGCCGGCGTCTGCGCAGGAGAAACCTCACCAGCAGAAGCTTAAGGTGAGAGCTGCATTGGACGAGGTTAAAGGCACACTGGCGCATACATACGTGGTGACTGGGCCTTTTGCTGATCTCTATTTGGGGCCTGGACTGCGTGACGCTAGAGGGGGGGCTTTCAAGGTGAAGGAGAGAAGGGCAGACCTGCTAGGCGACGGGCATGGTAAGATAAGCTTAACGACTATGGATGAGTAAGTTTGTTTTTTTGTACGTTATAATGCCCAGGGCTAATCAAACTGCAGCGTTGGGAAACTTGTTGCTGCTGCTATCCTTCAGCCATCCTTGGCTAAAAACCGGGCACTGAAGGTCAATTCCTTCACTACTACGCCAGCTGATATACTAGCCGAGTTTGAGCGTCAGACTGGGGGTCAGTCATGGGGTAATATTACGCACACCCCTCTCGATGAGTTGCGGAAGCTGGAAGAGGAGGCTTGGAACGATGGTGTTGTTGGAAAGGCGACAGTTCTCACACTAAGGCGGATATGGACGGAGGGAGGAACTCTGTATGAGAAAAGGGATAACGAGGCTATAGGGGCACCCCCAATGGAGACATTGGAACAAGCTGTGTCCAAAGCAATCAAAGAGCAGACTGAAGCCGCTGTGTAGTTAGATTGCTTGGGCGTTGATGTTACCCAAATTGACCACTTTCATAAATTTTTCTCTAAGTAATATAAGGGTATACACAAGTCTATATACAGAAACTCCAAATGCGATTCCTATAACTGAAGTGTTTTTAATGGAAACGCCAAAACTCCAAGCTAAAGGGTCTTCATCAAAGAAAACCGCTCTTTGATGATATACACACATCTATGATCTTGCTTTAGCAGCTAGGAGATTCAATGCACTACCAGCAAGGATGAAGCCACATTGATCTTTACTCAACGTATGCTTCACAGGAATTTCTAGGGTTTCGCCACTCCTTTTAAAAACCAGGAGCTTAACGTCCCCTTGCCCTCCATTTTGCAATAAATCGTACAAGCCCACAGTATCAACAGAATCACATGCATCGATCTTATCATAGTCAGCTTTGTCCACAAAAGTCAGGGGCACAACACCCTGCTTCTTCAGGTTCGTTTCGTGGATTCGGGCGAAACTCTTGGACACGATGATACGTCCGCCGAGGTAGCGCGGCTGCAGAGCAGCATGCTCTCGCGCACTGCCTTCACCATAATTCTCCTCGGCGATAACAAGCCATTCAATTCCATTATCTTTCCATTGTGCAGCAAGATCTGGAATAGAGTAAGTCTTACCATCCACGTCATACGCAACGTTTGTTTCGCCGGTGGCAGCGTTAACGGCGCCGATGAGGGTATTGGCAGAGATATTAGGAAGGTGGCCTTTGTATTTGAGCCAGGGTCCAGCAGCAGAGATCGTGTCGGTGGTACACTGCCCCTTGACTTTGTAGAGAACACGGAGCCCTTTGAGCTCGCTCTTTGGGAAAGGAGCAAAGGGTTCGAGAATAGCCAGACGGTCAGAAGTGGGAGATATCACAATCTCGCTGGCAGGATCTGGAACGGCGACGGAGGGTTGGAAGTCTGGGTTTCCGGAGACAAAACCGGCCTTTGGGAGGTCTGATCCTTGAGGAGGGCTAAATGTGAAAGATCCGCCATTTGCAGTTGGAATGCTGTCTGTCATAGGGTTAAAGGTTGTGCTGCCCGCAAAACTCAAAGCTGTGACTAGCTCTGGAGATGCTAAGAAGTTCATAGTTCCAGGATTCCCATCATTGCGGCCACGGAAATTTCTATTGTAGGATGTGAAAATGGCGTTGCTTTCGCCCTTCTCCACACCATCTGTTCGTTTCCACTGACCAATACATGGACCGCAAGCATTTGCGAGAACAGTGCCACCGGCAGAGGAAAATGTATTCAGCGTCTGATCCCGATCCAATGTAGCTCGAATTTGCTCGCTGCCAGGGGTGATGAAGAAGTCTGCTTTCGGGCGGAGACCCGCTTTTGAAGCCTGTTTCACAAGATCTTCAGCTCGGGTCATGTCCTCATAAGAACTGTTCGTGCAGCTTCCAATTAGACCGGCGCCAAACTTCTCAGGCCAATTGTTTTTACGAACTGTTTCTGCAAAAGACGACAAAGGCACCGAGAGATCTGGAGTAAAGGGGCCATTTATATGTGGCTCCAGTGACGAAAGATTGATTGTAATGTGATGGTCGTACTCAGCGTTGGGATCTGCGCACAGGAGATTCCTAGGTCCGGACGAGGCGATTTCGGCTGTAGATTTGGCAATGCTTGCACGGTTAGTGGCTTGAAGATATGGCACCATGCTAGGGGAAAACGGGAAAATTGACGTGGTAGCGCCAACTTCCGCACCCATATTGCATATGGTAGCCAAGCCCGTGCAGCTGAGTGTCTCCACTCCAGGTCCGTAATACTCAATAATATATCCAGTGCCACCCCTGACCGTTAGCTTCCCAGCAAGGTGGAGAATGATATCTTTAGGAGACGTCCATCCACTCAAAGATCCTTCCAGCCTGACACCTAGGATTTTAGGGGCCTTGAGTTCCCAAGGAGCATCCACGAGAGCATCAACAGCGTCTGCACCGCCAACACCAATAGCAATCGCACCTAGCCCGCCGCCATTCGGTGTATGGCTATCGGTTCCGAGCATAAACAAACCGGGGGCGGCATAGTTCTCCAAGACAGTCTGGTGAATGATCCCAGCGCCGGGAGGCCAGAATTCAATACCGTATTTTTTAGCAGCGGACTCCAGAAAATCAAAAACCTCTTTGTTTCCTTGGATTGAAGCTGGCAAGTCAACATCTGCACCCTTCTGACCGACAATCATATGGTCGCAGTGGATGCTAGCAGGAACGGCAGTTGAAGGAAGTCCGCAGGACATGAATTGAAGCAATGCCATCTGTGCTGATGCATCTTGCATCGCTACACGGTCTGGTTTGATCTTCAAATTGGCTTGTCCGCGAATACTCTTCCCGTTTTGTGTACCGGTGAGGAGTGACTCTTCCACATTGTCAAGATGCGAATACACGACCTTTTCAGCGAGGGTGAGAGGCCTGTCTGCACCCAAGATTCGCCGGACTTCGTTCAATCTACCCAAAATTTTCGGATATGGAGGTGAGCGGCTTGGGGCTTCTGGTCTGGCGGGCAATGTAGCCTCTGTCGCAAAGCTGCGATATCGGCGAACCGGTGAGCATTGGGCAATCTGGAGTTGTCGGGTTAGAATGATGGAAAACGGGTGAGTGGCATTGGAACTCACAGCCCGAGCAGTGGCGGGACTGCGCCGCCACATCATCATGAAGCAATTGCTCGCGTGCGTAGAGTTGAAGAGTCGATGACTCCGAGAATTCGATTTATCTTACCGCGTGTAATTACGACTTACCAAATGTTTTTTTAGCTATTCTCCGATTGGCCAGATCATGTAATTTATTTCATTCGGGCTGGAACGCTTACCTAATCGCGAGATGCAAGCTCGTTTTCTCAGCCTCTGCGTGAAAGACAACAAACATTCAGCATTAACTAACAATAACCAAGCTATCCAACAAATGCCTGAGAAATTTTAAGCCCAATATCCATGCTAGTCTCTCCTTGCGTTTGCAAGGCGTTTTATCCCAACAGATTACCACGCCTATCTTAGAATACATTTATGACCTCGCCAAGTATGGAACTCCGAAAGGAGACGGCCGACTAAACAAAATTTCTTACCTCCATCACCGATGAGGAATTTCTATATGATATCCCGCTCGGCTGAACCTTCCTCCTCCGCAGCGGCCCGTAATTCATAACAGAGATCATAGCATTGGGCAAGTAATTCATTAACGCTGCCTTGGCCTTCTGGTAGGTCTGCTCCTATGTAAAATTTGCCTTCGACGCGCATGTTATCGATTGAATTGAGCTACAGGTGTACAGGTACAAATTAGCAATCGAGGCTATAGTTTTGGCTGCAGAATGGGCTAACCTTCATGCTATAGGGGTATAATTCTCTGGAGTTAGAGACGCCTCCAGACTCTTTGACCTCCATTAAACATTTCCGTAGAGTTTGGAGTTGATTGTAGATTGGTAGGAGGGCTTCCGAGACGGGCTCAGAGGAAATCAGAAGCCCGTATATTAACGCATAGCTTCGGCGAATCAGATATAATAGAGTCTGGATATATGTTAGTATTAGAAAAGTGAAGTAAGCACGCGCCGAGGTTATACCCTTTGTGCATGAAGGTCTGCCGGCCGACCTGTCGCATCCAAGAAGTTACCGTTTATTCGACAGGCGTCAATTTGATTTAATTTCCTTTGAAACATGTAGAGATCTGTCTCTCGTAGGGACCACGCTTGTGTCATGGCAAGCCGATCCAGTTGGTTTCGAATATCGACAAGATGATCATACCGTTCCTTAAAGCGTTCGTCAATATTTCCCTGTCTATTGATGCGTTAGCCCGGTAAAAATCAAATGCGGTTGGCATTAAGCCCATACCGTTCCAAAACAATATCTACCCATATTAAGCATCTTTCTAAAAGAACTTTCACTATCTCTTGGCCTTCAGGTACAGATCCATCCAAAGCTACAAACTTGCCATCTTTCATATTTCCTTTTATTTCAATTAACCTATCTTTGAAACCAGAGACCTCAGAGAAAGAAAACTATGTTAAAGGTATTAATGTCTTCGGCTTCAAAGTGGGACAGCACACCAGACCTACCTTAGACCTTGTATTTGCAGCCGCAGTGGATCGTAATATCGAAATAAGTGTTTCATGTGTTGAGTTCAGTTCGGGAGATAGCAAGGATATTTCGTGTTGTAAATCCGCTAGTTGTTTTTCGCAATTGTCTAGACGGGCCTGCAAGAGGGTTAAAAGATGTGGAGAGTAGGTTTCTTTGCCACGGTCCACAGTCTCTCCCATCTTTCGAAGGGTTTTTGCTATGGAATCGAGATCTTTCTGACTATAAAAGGAAGCTTCTTTTAGGTGGTCAAGCAGGCGCTGTGGCAACCTATCAGCAATATGACCTCGGTATCAAAAAGGGACAATCTACCTTGATGGTTGAAGCCATTGAATATCTTTCGGGAGTTAGTAACTCGGATTCTGCATATCGCACATCCAGCTTACTTACGTGGCGGGAGCTTCATTATTTCTACCAACAGTAAGAAATAATAAGGAAATAAGCTGAAAGCAATCGTCCAGGACATTATCAACTGTAACATGCTACTATCAGACCGGATCATTTATGCAAATGTATTTCACGGCTATCAAACCTCTATTATGCTCTTTCTTCTCTACTCTGCCCGAGCGGATGCTGTTCAACAGTTGTACCTGCTCAATAACTCTATCATAAAACGGCAGAACATCTTGGGACTTGATATAGGTAGATTTGTCCTGTTTCAGTAGTAACAAAGCGTCTCGTACGAGCAGCAGCTGGTCGAGGATCGGCTGCTCCTGGGGGTCAAGCGGGGCTGTTACGGCAGGGGAATCCATTATATTTCACGGGAGAGCGTCGCACCTCCGACTGACCAGCTAACTTGGAAAACAAACGATGCAGTGGTTTGCCCGACGATGTCGCCAGAGGCCTATCAGATGGCGGGGAGCCGCCCGGCACATCTGATGACGCTAATTCTGCCCGGTCGAGCCACTTTGGCGCGGCTTACGTAATTAAGCGAGCCAGCGTTTGCACACACGAAAAAGAACGACGCACATCAAATTCAAGCCAACCTCGACATCGCTTTTTCAAGTCACGTATCCCATTCACGGATATCCATCGTCACAATGTCTACCACCGAGCTTGCAGTCTCCTACGCCGCCTTGATCCTCGCGGACGACGGTGTTGATATCACGGTACGAATTCGAATTCTTGGAATAGCACCATAAGGAAGCCAGCTGGAACTGATATCTTCCCTCCCGATGACTCTAGGCCGAAAAGCTTCAGACGCTCCTGAAGGCCGCCAACGTGCAAGATGTCGAGCCAATCTGGACTTCTCTCTTCTCCAAGGTAGACGCAATCGCGCGCGCACTCGTCAAGACAGATCGGTAACTAATACTTGGTATTTGAAGGCTCTTGAAGGCAAGGACGTTAAGGACATCTTAACGAACGTCGGCTCGGCGGGCGCTGCCGCCCCTGCTGCTGGTGGTGCCGCTGCTGCTGGCGGTGCTACTGCCGCCGAAGCTGCCCCCGCTGCCGAAGAAAAGAAGGAAGAAGGTATGTTAAATGCCACCTCTTTTGTCAAATAACTGCGAGCTACTGGGTGGATTGGGCAATTGCTAACAGGTCTCTTTTTTCAATCATATAGAGGAAGAATCGGACGAGGACATGGGTTTCGGCCTTTTCGACTAAACAGCGCGTCTTTCGTCTTTTGCTTGTACACAATCTTCCTAAAAGGATGCACATCTTGGGCGCATGCAGGCAGTTATGCTACGAGTTTCCGATGGGGATCATAAGAAAGCCAGTTGTCGGGTAGCAAAACCTTTATTTCATTATGATATGGTTTTTCATTTTTAATATCATGTCGTCATGAACTAGCGCTGTTGCCAAATAGAAAGTGAATGTGCACCGCCCGCCAATATTCAAAATTGTTTTCTCCCTCGCGTGCCAGGACCCCATTTTTAATGATACAAAGATACAGAAAATATGCCTTTTCGCTATACGATCGCCGATGCACCCTCCCTATTTGCATAGATTCGAAACTGTACGAAGATTGCAATATCCTCCGCCAAGGTTCCCAATGACCCAATAAGCCAGGGAAGATTTTTCATGAAATACTTTTTTTCTGTTGAATGAAATAAGATCTAGGTTGAAAGTCAGCTTTCAAGCTAGCAGACGTTTGGTACGCCACTTACACCAGCGCCGTATGATGAATTGCCCAACAAGGAGAATATAAAAAACAGTAAAGAAAGGCCTATAGTAGAGTCAGCGACAGTCTTGAAAAATTGCAGCGCCCACAAATTACCTTCACAGGATTTGTCCTTATAATTTTTCACTATCTGGGGTATTCTCGCACTGGAAGCGATCAGTATATTGTGCCATAGACCAAGTGTATTGTGTAAAACTCACCCAAGATAACAAGCAGCACTGATATACCCCAGTATCGTCGCTCCAAATGCAGCATTTTCCGTGTCTCCAGGCTTAGCCTCAGCGATGGGAACCCATACTCCCGATTTCCAGGCAATGACCCAACCAACGGTCCCAGCCGCACAAATGCCCAGAGCACTCAGCGTGTTTTTTAACCAAACATTTTTCGGTTCTGTCTCCTCTAAAATTTTCGCCAGAGAGTCCGTCCGTTGCACTGCAGAGCGGTGGCTGCTGATTCGCCGCAGCGAGGCTGAGGACCTTCGTCGCGACCCAGGAAGACCCATGTTTTCACTCATTCGCCGGCTCAGTAGCGGCGTCAACGGATCTGGCGTATCAGACACACTGCTGGACGTACGGCGGCGGTATCTGTCTGCTCTCCGGGCATTCTTGAAGTTGTAGTAGAGATACTGGCTAATGAGGATGCCGTCCGCGATGCAGAAGTAGACAGCGATCGCGATAACGGTTGGAACCAGCTGGGCCCAAAGCGCACCACCCAGGTTGGTCAAGTCGCCCAGAAACCAGATAAGTAGAAATACAAACGATATGGCCTCTGCGCTTCCACATCTGTAGTTTTCTATGAGTTGAGGAACCTGTGATTCGAGCATGTGTTAGTCCGAAGAAACGTGTTTCGCGGCGAATCGCCATCTGGGAGGTAGCAAACCAGAAGAAATAGCCAGCAGGCCAGAGATATTGAGCCTAGGACTCCCGACGTAGCCTCCCGGAATGTCAACGGCACCGGGTCCGCTATCGTGGCCTTCATTTCGACAAGCTCAGCTGTGAACGACGGGTAAGAATGTCCAAGCCACGGTCAAGAGAGGAAGGATACAGAATGCACCGTCATCGAACTGATATTATATTGGTAAGTTGCAGTTGTCTAATTCCAAAGAATGACGGACCCGAGGAAGTCCGGCACATCTGTAACATGCTAGGCGATTTGCTGAAAAATTTTCCTCGATTCCTTTCCGAGTCGAGCTGGCGCGCTCAGGAGGCGCCACAAATAGACTTTTCCGGCCAGCGTCATCGCAAAGCTTAATGCGACCCTATGAGGCTGAAGAACCGCCCGTCGCGAACGCGATCAAAAACAACAACACGGCTGCTGGCTGACGTGGGCGGCGCGATTGGCGACAGCGAGGCCATAGGGCCCGTGCCTGGCTGCACCGCGAATACCCGCCCCGGCGCGCAGAGATTGCAGTGCGATCGAGTGGCGGCGATCGCCGTGCGCATTGGGCCGAGGCGAAGAGTCCGGCGGTAATTGTCTCTTGTTTCTAAGCGCTGTTTGGACGATGGCTTTTGAGTCTATTGTTACAGATCGCTGTGCTGGCCAGTTTGGCTTTCCTCTATTATTGTTCCTCGCTTTGCCGCAGCAATTCCTCTTTCAATAGGTCCGTCACGATAGGGATCGCCTGGTCCTGCAGCACCTTGACCATTGCTTCTGCCGCTCTCTCGTGTAGCGTCTGGTTCCATTCGTCTGGCGGCACGTCCTTCATCAAACGCCTTACCCAAGCAGCTATGGGCGTGATGTCTCGATCCATGTCCCAATTGCCAGGGTCAACACCATTTTCCTCGATAAACCAAGCCACGTCGAATAGCCCCTTGTTAAACAGCCAGTGATCGTGGGTCACGATCACTTCACCTGAATCTAAGCTACTCTCACCATCCGAGTGGGCATTCTCAGGAATGGCATTCGCATTTATTACGCCTCGAATGACATTGAAAAGCCAAGATGACGGTACATCCTCTTGGCCCAGCGGCTGGCCTGGTGGTAGAGGATCGGAAGCTGAGATCTGGCCTGCCGTGAACTCGCGTGGAAGGTGGGTTAAGACAGCAGGTATGTCAGATACGAGAACATGCCGGGCAATATTTAGTGATATTTCGGGTGCCAGCATAGCTGGTTGTGTCGCGTCGACGCTATCTGCCACTTCTACAAGTAGCGAAATCGTCTCTGGAGTATTCCAAATATCTTTGGCACGTTTAATGTAGAGCTCTGCAAATAACTCGAACGCTGAATTAGGGGCTGTGGCTCCCCAGATAGATCTAGGCACAGGGCTGATATTTAGCTCCTGCGCAAGCCGACAAAATATCCACGGATACCGAGAAACGGCCTTTCGTAACTGATCTCTTGCCCCAGTTGCATTTCCTTTCAGAACATACGCGAGGGAAAGCGAGCATTGGATATTTGGAAACGAATCCCAGCGTTCTTTAAATATAGGGTGCGAGCATAGTTCAAGGAAGTGCTCATGTTCTCTTGCTTTGATGGCAATCTGATCAATTGTCAAATTGAGACAATACGGGTCATCAGTATCCAGGCTAAGGAGAAACTTCGCCCACTCGTATGTAGTCTTCCATGTGCCTTTCATCCCCAAATTGATAACATATCTCCATGTTGCTAGCCATAGTTCACGATTCTCTTTGAGGGTAAAATTCAAGCGGGCTTTGCCCTCTTTGAGGCAAGTACCAAATGACGACTGAACAGACCTTCCAATATTAAAAAGCGCCCTTTCAAGAAGATCTCCGGAAACAGCATGGTCACCTTGGTGCTTCGCGATTTCGGAGACTTGTAGTAGCGTAGATATGTGATATGCTGTCTCATTGTCAGCTTGAAGTAGACTTTGGTTATATGAAAAGGAATCTCACGGTTGAATTGAAGATGTTCTATCATTCTCTCTGGCTCCATTGACTGAACGCACATGTCAAACTGCCTCTGCACATCTTGATAGTGGCTATTATGGACAAGCTTGAACTCCGTGACGCCCGACGGTCTTTTTGCTACTATCTCCATCCCGAGCCCGCCACTTGTCATGCGAGGCCATTCATCTTTGCCTTGCATCAGAACGTTCTTGCGGAGAGCCATTCCTGATAGAACCTGCCCACGGCTTGCAGGGCTGAATCTTCCGGTCAAGGCTCTTCCTAGGTCAACCATCTCACGATTTCTTTCCCGTCTCCTGCCCGGCGACTCTCCCCCATCCCTGTCCTCCACTGCGACATTTCCAAATAGCTTTCTCATCTCATTCATAGCGTTCAACCTCTTAGTATCCACTGCAAGCAGGGCGCAGAGGGCCTCCGATTCATCAGCTTCGTTAGGAGGAGCACCTGCATGTCCTCCGTCTTCAATTTTATGAACAGAAAGCTCTTTTAATGCTCGATCAATATCATCAAGTCCCTGACCATCTGACGCCGCGTGAACAGGTGTATCTGCTGACGTTATATCCCGTTTTGTTGCCTTTTTCTTTTTTTGTTTCTTCTTCTTCCTGTTAGCGGTAGGCTTCGGGCTTGGTACTGGCTCTGGGTCGTCTTCTATATGTGCTTCTTCGCCTTCCGACACCTCGTCATCCGCATCTAAAAGGTCGAATGCATTAAATTTCGACGTTAACGGCTTGGAATCCTCGCACTCTTGGTCTGATGTATTTTCTTGTTCAGCTTCTTGCCGGGCAAGCTCCCGCTGTTTCTGTACTTTTCTTAGTGCCCTTGAGGACATATTTGGCAGCGCGCTTTCATTCCGTGACTCAGCTGGTAGATGTAGTACGAGTGTCCAGTCCTGTGTGTTGACAGCAAAAACATTTAACGGCGGGCATGACTGTGCTAGTTAACCTTATCGTCTTATCGCCCTAGCACGTGACCAAGTTGAAAGTTCCGTCATATTGCATCCTTGCTAGAAAGCCATGACTGTCAGGCCTAAAACACTTTTCAACATCACTTCCCATCAAAACCAAAAGTATCTTTTGTTTGGTTTTTTTTTGGGATATTCTCCGCTATTCCTATGCGTCGAGCGGCAATATACGCCCTCCGTACGGTTCGACATACTCCTGTGCGGAGGTTCCCTCGTCCTTCCTCAAATCCCTTCTTTTCACGCAACCATGCTTTACTAGCCACGCGAGCACCTTTTTCGTCCAGAGCCACGACTCCATACGTACCAGCGGTTCTCCAGTCATCTATGTTTTTTCGAACTTTTTCTTTAGCTTTCATTTCGACACTGGTTGCCTCGGGCGCTTGGTACGCGTATAAAGGTGACCCAAATAAGCCGGAGCTTTCACCTACTTTCATTGTGAACCAGACTTCTCCACTCTTTCAACAACAAACTAGCAGCTTTTACTCGACCGTAACGACGCCGACGGCAGTAGGACAAAATTCTGACCAGTCTTCAAGCCCAGCTCTCGTTGTGAACAATGACCAGCTCTCTGCCACCTCTACTGCGAGCGAAGAACCGATTTCGAAACAAACAAGCGAGTCAGGAAGGAAAGTGGTTGGAATGTTGACACCGGAAGAAGCGACTCAAAAACTGCGGAGAAGCGAAGAGTCATATTTTGTTGGGCGCGGGCAGGGTGTTGTTCGTTACGACATGGTGCAACTTCCTAGCAACGACCCTATTGAAGACGACCATGCCGAGAAAATTGTGGTAACTACTCGTGAAGATGGATCTTCTAGTGATTGGATGTTTTGGGGCGTTTTTGACGGTCATTCGTAAGTGATTACTTTGTGGAAAAATAGTATGCAAAGGCATAAGTTTGGGCTGATAACAATAGTGGCTGGACTACATCGGCAAAATTGCGACAGGCTTTGATTTCTTTTGTGACGCGTGAGCTGAATTCTACCTATCAAAAGGCCGGTGCTTCCGTATCCGGCTCTATATTCCCTTCACCAGAAGCTATCGATGCAGCTATCAAAAGAGGCTTTGTCAATCTTGACAATGAAATTGTCCACTGGAGCGTCGATAAGGTTTTAAAAGCTAATTCAAAGAGAGTCGCTGCTGAGTTGCTTGCACCAGCATTATCCGGTTCGTGTGCTCTCTTGGCGTTTTATGATAGCCAGTCGAGTATGCTACGTGTTGCTTGTACCGGGGATTCCAGGGCCGTTCTTGGTCGTAGGGCAGCAAACGGGAAATGGACAGCTACCCCGCTCTCTGAAGATCAGACAGGCTCAACAGAGTCGGAAATCCAACGTTTGCGTCAAGAGCACCCTGGCGAAGACAATGTGGTTCGTAATGGACGGGTTCTGGGTAATCTTGAACCTACCCGTGCTTTTGGCGATGCATTCTACAAATGGAAGCGAGACACCCAAGATAAGATCAAGCGTCAGTTCTTCGGGCGAACGCCGCATCAATATTTAAAAACACCACCATACGTCACCGCTGAACCAGTTGTTACGGCGACCCAAGTTGATCCTCAGAAAGGTGATTTCTTGGTATTGGCGACAGACGGCCTTTGGGAGATGCTTAGTAACGATGAGGTCGTTGGACTTGTTGGTCAATGGCTTGAACATCAGCGCGCCAGTGCCCAAGGCAAAGATGGCGTTAAAGGTTGGCTTCAAAGCTGGTGGTCCCAGGAAGGTCAGTTGCCTATTGAGAAATCAGTACGCGAAGATGCTACTGGGCAACGTGCACCAATCAGACAGTTGCAATATAACATCCCGCAAAGCGAAACTCGCTTTGTCATAGAGGATAAAAATGCTGCGACCCATTTAATTAGAAATGCTCTTGGAGGAAAGGACAAGGACATGATGTGCGCATTGCTAACGCTCCCAAGTCCTTATTCTAGAAGATATCGGTATGGATGCCCTTTAACTACGCCGGAAAATCTAGAGACTTACTAATGTTTCACAGGGACGATCTTACCGTTCAAGTGATCTTTTTCGGTGAAAGTGAAACCACCGGCAATGTCACTATCAATTCGGAAGCAAGCGCCTCTGGACGTACTGTACCTGCTAAGCTGTGAACAGCCATTCCAACCAGCAGGGTACAGGGATTCTTTTACAATTGTCGTTTATTACGAGTGTCAAATTATCTGTTTATAGAGATCCGCTGATTCTGATGTGGTTCCATCTTATTCCCGCTTGTGATTTACTGTCTGGTCTACCATTGATACCCCCTGGTGCTGAGACTTTTTTTAGATGGTCTATCTCTTTATAAATAGCGCCTTTCCCATACAGGACTGAACAACAGTTTCCCATTCGTCCTGTCACTACTATAATTAAATCTGTGGCTGGTGATTTCTATTGGTCGTCAAATTAGTGTCCGTTTCAGAGGAGTATTTTTCTTTTGAAGTGGAATACCGTATATCAACCATCAATGCCGTTAGTAGTGCTTTTCTATGGAGTTCAAAAACGCCCGGCTATAACCCTGAGATTAATAATGTTACCTGTGAGTACTAACATCGGCATGACGTTCGCTTTTAATCCAACCTATATCGTCTATCTTTGACATAAAGAATAAACAACAAGGTCATTCGAAGTGCCTTCGACTCATAGAAGCCTAGTGAAGGCAAACTTTGAGATGTGTGCATGTTGTCTTCAACTTCGCTAGTCCCTAACGCCGCAATAGCTACAAGTACCTCACCATGTTTATATGGTGTCACCCAGAAAAGGGGAGTGCGGTACTAAATACACCGATGAGTCATAAATGCAATAGACGAATCCCAGTCGTCAATTCCGCAAGAAATTAACTGCTGGGACCGCTCTGTTTTATCATCCTCAGTTTTCTACTTTTGTCTTCAGCGAGAGGAGTTTCGCGCTTCGTTTCCGGCTCATATTTGTCTCCGATCAACTTTGTTTCCAGTGGAGCCGGCATTGGTACCCCTTTAAGCAGCAGTGAAAAGGATTTTGTCTGTATCGTAGCAAAAATTGTACTAGAGATCCAGTAGATCAACATCCCAGCAGGAACCTCTTGAAAGGTCATCACGGGCCATAACAGTAATGCTGACATCTGTAGAGTCCGTTTAAATATGCCCAATGCCCTAGCTTTAATGCGTTGTTTCCTAAAGCGCATGTTGGAAATCTCTTCCGCGCTTGCCGATTTCCATCCAATTGATATGTTGGTGAATACGACAGCCGATAAAAGAGCGGGAAGAATGCCATAAGGGTCTGTAGCGAGGAGGTCAGAAAACCACAGCGCACCTTCGCTTGACATAGACTGCTGTACGGCAATTTGGGGCGCCTCGGGAAATGTCTCCACCCAGCCCTGAACTATGCTTAGCAGGCCACCGGACATTCCAACCATTCTCCGAATACTCTCCATCATTGCAAGCCATACTGGAAACTGAATCAATGGTATACGTTGAATCCACGGGCGTATTTTCCACCTCTTATGTAGCTCCTTTGCCTTCAGTCTTAGCTGGAGCTGGGATACAGTCTCGGCCATTTTGGGGGGCATATATCTTCCTTCTTTAGCAGCTGCCGTTAGGGTATTATCTATGATAGCGTGACCCCATGAGATATATAAAGGTTGAATTATTTTTAACTTCCGGGCGTGTGAAAATGCCCAGTACTGCAAAGGGGTTGCGACAGCGAATCGCACTAGAATAGCCGTCAGGGGGATCGAGACTGCCCATGATAGACCGGTAGCGGCATGAACTGCTTCTAAGACATTATGGGCTATAACAACCGTTTGATTGATCAATTGATTCGGTCGAGAAGCGTGAAACTGGCGAGCATGGAGTCGGCGCGGGGTGGTTCTTAAGTGGGTGAGGGACTGTCTAAGCCCCGGTCTAAAAGGTAGAGTCATGTATAATAAGCCTGCTAAGAATTGACTGAACCGAGGCCTCCATTCGTGCGCGAAAGATAACACGTTGAGATACCAGATGTTGATTTCATTACCTTTTACGGTTTTCCGTGAGTTTGCGGCATCCAAGTGCAAACAAGACATAACTACTCCGTACTTTAGCGCTAGTTATTCCACGTGACATAGTTCGAAATAAGCTTATCGATAAGGAACAGCCGCATTATGTCATCAACGCCGAGTTCCTGAATCGCATCGAAGCCGTCGTGGCCGCTTGCAGCTTTACCGCAACAGCTTCCGTTCTGGCTTGACCCGGGCACGGTTTTGAATATGATATGACAGAGCCCTTACTCTTCTATTGCTCGAAATGCCTACCTTTGCTGCCACGTTCCTTGTGGTGCTCGTTTCGCTCCTAGCCCTCTTTTCCGTCTTCCCGACCCTTGCCGGACTCCCCGCACGCCTTGTCTTTCGAGCATTCGGCCGTCATATACAAAGAAAAGGTAAAGGGAGACGGGACCTAATACGTGCTCGGGTCCAGGTCGAAGAAGAAGACTATCGATCGCGGAACTTACGACAGTCGAAGTTGGATGATGATGACTGGGAGAAGGTTGAGGGCAGCGACTCCCGGGCTTCTTCTCGCGGAAGCGCTGTAGAAAGCGACTGGGATGGCTTCGTGGGATTTTTCCATCCATTCTGGTAAGGGAATCTCATAGTTCCCTGAGCGAAGGAAGATTGTCTCTAACGGTATTTCAGCAACGCAGGGGGTGGCGGCGAGCGGGTTTTATGGGCTGCTGTTAGAGCAACGCAAAAGAGATGGCCCAAGGCCATATGTGTGGTTTACACGGGTGACCAGGACGTGGACAAAACCACCATGCTTAACAATATCGAGGTATGAATCTTGACAGCCCCTGATTGGCTTCAATTCTAACCATGCTTCTCAGAGGCGTTTCAATATTCAAATTCACCCTCCTACAATAGTATTCTGCTACCTCTCCACACGACAATATGTCCTCAGTAATACATACCCCCGTTTTACCCTCCTAGGGCAATCCTTGGGCTCCTTAGTTCTTGCGTACGACGCCTTCTCCCTCCTCGTTCCCGACATTTTTGTCGATACGATGGGTTATGCCTTTGCCCTGGCATTTTCGCGTCTTCTATTTCCATCCGTGCCAACTGGTGCTTACGTCCATTACCCCACAATATCAACGGATATGCTAGCGTCGCTCGAGGATAGCACCGGCCAGAAAGGTCTCAATGCTGGAGCAGGAACAGGCTGGAAAGGTGCAACTAAGCGCCATTACTGGCATGCTTTTGCAAAACTCTATGGCTTGGTCGGTGGCACAATTGATATAGTTATGTGCAATTCGTCTTGGACGTCTGGGCACATAAATGCGCTATGGCTTCCAGCTAGACAGAGAAAGACATTCAAAAACCCCACAACTATCTTTCCTCCTGTGGCAGTGTCGGATCTTGAAGGGATTCAAATCGATTCAAAGAGTGAACGAGATGTTAGGCAGCCCACGATTCTCTATATAGCCCAGTTTCGACCAGAGAAGAATCACGCCCTTATACTCCGCTCGTACGCCCGTTTCCTCAAACAATTCAGAATCAACCGCTCAAGCACATCAGGCGCACTAAACGATGCCCCCCTTGCATCTTCCTCCTTAACTGAGCCAAAACTTATCCTCATCGGGTCCGTCCGCCACTCTAGCCCTGACGAAACCCACATCTACAACCTCCGACTCCTCACACACGAGCTTAAAATCCGCGACAACACCCAATTCATCCTTGACGCAAGCTGGCCCACCGTCCTCGAGCACCTACGCACGTCGTCCATCGGCACCAACGCCATGTGGAACGAGCACTTTGGCATAGGTATCGTAGAGTATCAAGCCGCTGGCCTGATCAGCGTCGTACACGACTCCGGTGGCCCGAAGATGGATATTGTGGTTGATCTGGAGGACGGTGGGACAACGGGATTCAGGGCCACGACGGAAGAGGAGTATGCGGCGGCGTTTGAGGCGGCTTTGGCGCTACCGGAGGAGGAGAAAGTGGCGATGAGAAAGAGAGCTAGGACGTCGGCGCAGAGGTTCACTGAGGAGGAGTTTGGGAGAAAGTGGGTGGATGAGATGGAGAAGCTTGTCGAGATACAAAGAAAGAAAGCGAGAAGATGGTCATAGACTTCGAATTTTTGCTGGCATGTATTTGTATCCTATTGTTTTGGCTGTTTAGCTGGTGGGCGTTGTTTGAGGCGTTTTTCTATTTCATTTCTCTAGATATCAGACCATATTTTGTTGTTTTGACTGATTGGACACTCTGCCCTTTCCACCATTTTGCACCCCAAATTCCCTGTTTGTCTTTTTCTGGCCTTTTCGACTGCCTTCAAACAGCGTGCAGTATAGGTCCCAGCCCACGCTGCATTACAGTGGACGAACAATGCCCATGCATGCATTTTTGAGTTTCATTTTCTCCACAATTGGCAGCTTCGCATATCACCCCTCGATCTATATATATCCAAGTTACATATTGGCGGCTACACATAGCCACAGCAATATATTTGTTTCCCTGGTTTTGGCAATGGGGGCCAATATCAAATCTTTCTATTCATTGGTGCCAAACCAAAGTCCTCGAGCATCGGTATGAGAAGCAGCTAGCAACCCAAAAAGCACCTCGATGGGCGCCGGAACCACTTAAGATTCATTATTATTCAAAAGTAGGGTAATATAGCAGGGTTAAATAAACATGAAAATTTCAAAGGGGGTTTCTAACAACTACTGGGGTATTATTCCATTACTGCCAATCATGGCTGAACAAGAAATAAAAAAAAGGGGGAAAGAGAGAAAGAAACTATAAGAAAACAACCAAGAAATAGCATAGTCCAGAATACGGAGTATATTTTCTTGGTTTTAAGGAGAATGAAAGTGCTACAAAGGGAAAAGAAATATCTGTTGGGGGCCGGAGCGGAGGAAATGAGTAATTTAAGTAGTAGAAAGTAAGAAAAGGGGAAGAAAATATATCACAATAACCAAGCGGGGGGAGAGAAACAGATGATTTTTTATCAACAAAATAACAGAAGCAATAGAAGAGTTATAGACCAGCATATATCCGATATCCCCCCAAGAAAGCAAAATGGCAAGTCAAAGTCTCTCTAATTTTCGTAAAAAAAGAAAGGTTCAAAAGGGTGAAGAAGAGGACCTCGCTGTATTTTCTTGTCCAGAATATACCGTATGGTCTGAAGTCGTCAAGACAAAGTAAACAACGCAAAAGAGTTGTGTTTAAGGTGCAATGTCAGTCGAAAAAAAAAACAGAAATGGAAGGCCGAACGCATCAGTTTCACAAAGGCAGGAATGGGGAGATTTTGACTACTTAACATCATACTCATTGCTCGTCCATCCTCCAGCCTGCGGCTGCCAGCTCGCACCGCCTGCGCTCGCATTCATTCCCAGCAACTGGTCCTGCGCCTGGCCCGGCGGCGGCTGGCCGCCTACAAACCCGCTGCCGCCGCCAAGGCCGCCAGTTTCATCGTCATCGCCAAGCCCGAACTCACCGCCGGAGCTCGCATCGAAACTCCCGCCGCTGCGAAAGTCGCTGTTATTATTATCGTCGGGCTGCGCGGCGATCTGGTCCCATTGCAGGGTCTGCAGGGCGGGATACTGTAGGAGCAGAGCGGCGGGGAGCGTGAATGAGGAGGCCTGGCCGTCCATGCCTGCCTGGACGGTCATCGGTTGCGGGACGGGCTGCAGGTGGCCGGTGAGGTGCGGCTGCTGAGGGTGTTGCTGGTGCTGGCCTTGCTGGAGGTATGCGCGTTCGCGCTCCGAGGCTTCTTCGTCGAGGAGGGGCTTGATGCAGATTCTGCCGGCTTCGGATCTAAAATGCCGTCCAAGTGCATCGGCGCGCGCGAAACGGCGTCCGCAACCCCAGTGGCCGCCCCGACCTAGATCTCCGCGACAAACGAATTTCTTCTCTCCGGAATGCAGCCCTTCATGCCGTTTTCGGTCGTGCTGGCGCGCAAATGCCTTGCCACACACGGTGCAGACAAACGGCCGCTCATCGGTATGAGTTCGAAGATGAGAGCGCAAGTTATAAGCTCGAGTAAATCGCTTTGGGCAAAGATTACATTGAAACGTAGCTGGATGTTTCTGTACGCGCTTTGAATCGCCGCCGGTGGAACCAGGCCGTTGGGGATCTGCAAGATCAAGAATGTAGTTGCGGTTGTCTATAGATGAAGTAGACTGTCTGCGATTCTTAGCGGCAGGTGAGACTTCACGGGACGATGGAGTACTCAGAGACCCAACGCTGCGTGGGAACGGCGAAAGAGAGCGCGGATCATGTGGGACAGTGGGGAATGGCGTGAGTGGTGCAGAACGCGGCATTGATTGTGCAAAGGGGTCGGATTTACTTCTACCTCGTCCTGTTTGAAACTGAATTAGCGTTTGAACACATAAATAGGAGTCAACGGCCTCGTACGACTAATAGGTGGGCTAAGAGTATCCTTATCCTGATCAACTTTGTTCATCGTTTCGAACGTTGACGTCCTCGATGGTGGCGCAAAATCAACGCTGATTACAGGCGGAGTCATTTGAGCCGCTTGACCCATCTCACTGGGGCTCGTTTGCGATTGGAGAGTTGGGCCAGGAATATCGGTATTGATCGTATATGTGTCTGAAGGGAGTGTAACAAAATGGTTGTTTAAATTTTGAGTATTAAGAAAAGCGTTCTCATTTGCCAAGTCTCCACCCGGCTGTTGGGCCATCAATCGAGGCGACATGTTATAAGGGGTATGGGCAGGGCTGAACGCTTGGTCTTGGTCTGAAATTGTAAACGACCCGATTCCAAGCGCATTCTCGTAGAGTAGATTGTCTGGCTGAGCCATTAGTAGTGGAGAATGGTTATTTTCAGATATATCGAAGGACTCTTGGGCCAAATATGGCGAATGGGAAACAGAGGAGACGTCCGAATGCTCCGAGGGTGCTCTTCTATGGCCTTGGAAAGACTGGCTTCCCAGCATCCCCTGCCAATCCGAATGGCCATGGCCGGTAACATATGCGGCCGTGGCAGGGTCCAACGATGCCTGGCGCGAGTGCTGTGGGGTGTAAAACGTTCCGGGGCTCGATGCTGGAGACGTTGGGCGCGGCGAGGTGTGCGATTCAGGGGGCGCGAGATGGGGGGGAGACGGGCGAGGCGACGGCATCCTGCTAAGGTCTGCGGGATTCACAGACTGGCTATTGTGGTGCGCGGCCGCCTGCGCCGTCTGGGGGTCGAAAAGCAAAGATGAAACAAAATCTGGAGCCTGATTTCTCTCGCTATACATCGGCAGGTCGTCGAAGGGGAGCTGGTCTGAGGGGAGGAGATTGCCTACACTAGCACCGCCGGCGTCGGCTTTTAGATTGGAGGAATGCTCCAGCTGCTGCAGGAAGCTGGCCTCGAAGGACTGCGAGTAGGGTTGGGGTTGCGTGAAGGACAGGTCTGACGCGGCCGGGGTCTGGAACAGACCAGGATCGAGGGCAGCGGAGGCGGGCATGAACGAGGCGTCGAGGGCGAAGGCGTCTGCGGCCGAGCTCGAGCTGGGGAACCGTGATGATGCGGCGGGGTCGTGGAAGGGCTGCGGATTGGCGCTCGAGGGGCGGATGCCAGAGCTTTTATTGCTGGCCCTCGATGCGGACCTGGCCCGGGCGTTCTGCGGGACATCCATGGCCAAAGGCAAAGTCGAAAATAGATGCGACAAGGTTGACTGGACCAGTCGAGCTCCACCAGGAGGTATTCGAGGGCAGGCAGACCAATAATGACTTGCTGGCAGGCAGACCCAACGGTCGGTTGGTCTCCCGCAGACAAGACGGCGCGGTGTGGCAGTGAACTGGCGGCGGACTCGTTCGTGGGCCCTGGCAGGCCGTGGCGCAGGGCGGGACGGGTGAGGGCAGTCTGGGCGGGCAGTATGTAGGGCCAGAGGCAGCGCGAGGCAGATCGAGGAGTGTCACGAGAGGGAGAGAGTCGATATTCGCAGCGAGGAGGAGCAGGAAGGGGAGGAGGCGGCAGCGGTGGTGGTAGTGGTGGTGGTGTTGGTGGTTGACGTGAAGATCGGGATGGTCGGTGAGGGCGGAGAGGGAGCGAGGAGGGAGAGAAACACCCCGCAGGCGAGAAAGCCGACTTGGCTGGACAGCACGGCGACCACGACTAGACAGCCGGCGAGAGCAGCGCAGAGCCGTTGCGTCAACGACGACGATGAGTTAGTTAGTTCGCAGGCCGTTGAGGACGAGCAGGCGATGTGGAAACAACACGAGCAACCAAGTCGAGTCGGGCTCACTAGCGAGCCGGGATCGCGCTGGACGGGCAGGCAAGGCGGTTTGCGCTGCTCAGCCCCAGTCAACGAGAGCAGAGAGGCAGACAGGTAGGCACAGAGAGAGCGAGCGAGAGAGAGAGAGAGAAGAGAGGCAGAGGCAGAGCTAGTAGGGCTCGTTGGCTGGAGATGCGCCCGCGACAGAAACACGAGAAGCGCCCGAAATAGATTTGCGACGATGCGCCTTCGCTCGATTCCCCCGCAGCGTCACGCCTACACGCGCCAGGCCAGCGGGAATCAGCATTCACAGGTACATATGGAGTGTCTATGCACAGCTCTTTCTCCCTCATATTCACTCCCGCAGTCCAGCTGCAGCCCTCTCGGCCTCCCTGTCGACCGTCGTGGACACGGCCCCAAACCCTCCCAGCCTTGTCTGCGACATTCGCGCTCGTTGGCCGGCCACGCCGCCCATGCCTACAGATGCCTGCTGTGCCCAGCAGTCTGATCGAACAGCATGCCCTCCGGTAAGCAGATCCCTCGCAGCTTGCCGCAGCGTTGGAAACCCAAGTACGGAGTACAGAGTAGTAGGCAGTGGTCGTGGGCTACGAACCGCTGATTGTCGCCCCCTTTGACAGCACGGCATCAATTAGGCATTTCCAAAGAGCCCTTCATTACTCGCGTAAGTAGTTAACTATCCCAACGCCCAGCGTATGCAGCTTGCCTGAGCAAGATTCCAATACCGTTCAGCCAGCGGAGAAGACGGCCTCTCACAGGAGCGGTATCGATCCGTGCATAGGATTCAGCCCGGCACTCGGCGACCTTGGAGCAACTCAGCTGGAAATGAGAATAGCCAGCAAGATTTCTTAGCAGAAGCCTAGCGAATCAAGCAATCGTACGGGCGACAGTACAACGCTGCATGCACCACCCCCCGGGAAAGCTTGCAGACAAGTCCGGCCACATCTCCGAACCTCATATTAATAGTTGCTCAGACCTGCTCCTACGTTCCCCGAAGGGCCGAACCGGACTTCCTCAGCTAACCGGCGGGAGGAACGAAAGGAATCTCGAAACCAATTTTTGCTGTTGGACGGCCGTTTCTCTCTCTCTCACTCTTTAGCCGCCCAGCCCGGGCGGGAATCCATCCCAAAAAGACTGTTTTCACAGCGTCCAGCCTGTCCTTGGATTTTCTTTTTGCAAACTCAATGTCTGGTAAGTTCGACGTATTCTTGTAGTTTGAAGTATTATTATTAATGCGATAGGGCTCGATGATGCAAAGGCTAAGTTGTACCTCCCATAGAGCCGACACAAGAAATGCCAACTGTTGCTAAAAAAACAAAAAAAACGTCCAAGCATGCAGATCCCCTGTATGCAAAGGTTGATGCCAGCGGCGAGGATCGCCATGCATAATGGCGCTCCCTGCACTTGTTCCTTATTCCATGCACGTTTCCCCCAAGAAGAATACAAAAGAACCATTATTATCACAAAGTACGGAGTATGTATTTCCAATATATATGTAGAGATATTTGCCACAATGCTGTCCCCCAAGTATGTGAAAAGAATAAAAAAATAAAAACAACACCAAAATGCAAATCAAACAAACAGCACCAAAGGCACAGATGTGTGGTATCCAACTTCCAAAATGCCCAGATGCCAATAATGCCAAATTATGCCCACATGAGAATATGCCCCAGGACCCATCAATTTACATGGAATACAACTGTATCAGCCGGACTCTTTCCAAGCACCTTATTTAATGGATGAGTGCTGAGCAAAGAAACGATACAGGAATAGCGGAGAAGGAATGGTAGGAAACAAGTGAGAAATAATAATAATAAGAGAGATGGAAAATCTCTGAGCCTCCCAAATCCATAACTTCCTTTATTCGAGAATCCTTGACCAAAGTGAAAAAGGGGGAAACGGTGTATTATATGCCTTGGCAAAGGTCATGGAAGTGGATGATAAAAAAAGGTAAAGAAAACTCCGCCCTAACCCTATTTATTCCAGAAGATGCATGGTAAGGGGTATCGTAAATATGTTGTATATGTTTTTCGAGCCGGGGTATGTTTGTCTGGGGTCTGTATTCTCAAGAGAAAAAAAAGTAAAGCACAAACAATAGACACAACTTTCATAGAATCAATATCGGGGTCCCATATCTGGGGGTATTCATCGAACCGCCGCAAAAATATAGATACGATGGGAAACGCAATTTCGATGCGATAGATGTCGTCTCATATTCGGTCTGTGGGAATAAGAAAGAAGTCGAGAAAAAATTAAAATAGAATAAAAATTATCCGTTCATTTAGGTTCATGGAATCATGGGTCTCGACCTTCCACCAACAGACTTCGACCTTCTCTTGCGACCAAAGATAATGCCTTCGTCGCTGCTATTATCTTCGTCCTCATCATCGCAATCATACTTTATTTCATCCTCGTGCGATCGGATATATGTATCATCCTTTGAAACTGTGATCGTCTCCCCTGTGCGAAGGATCGGGGATATTTTGCGAGGACCCTTTTCTTCTAGTATTGAGGCATAAAACCCTTCGTTTGACAGCGAAGATGCCCCCGATACCACAGACGGTATGCTTGGGTGCGATGTACAATAAGATATTCCGCTGGTGAAATCATCAGCGGACGACGAGGACATCGTGGCTGCAGAGGGGGGTGAGGTCATGGGCCGTGGCGGGGGAAATTTGAACGCTCCAGTGTGTTCAAATTCCATCTCTCTCGCAGGGAATATTTGGCGGTTGTCTTGATTGTCCCGCGAAAGGCCTAGACCTCGCCTTCCACGGGCGGAGGATTCTGCAAGAGTACGATGTCGGAAAAGAGTATCCTGAGTCAGTCGAACAGGGTGGGCCGATTTATTCTCGATGTTTTGATGCGATATACTCCGTCGATGGCGAGCAAGGGGCCGAACAGTAGGACTTCGGTATTCATTATTCCCATTTGGAGTCAGAGAAGTTGCTCGAATATCGGGGGACTCAAGGTGGCCTGTTGCAGATGCAGTGCTCACAGCAACACTAGGAGCACTGTGGCCGTCGCCGTCAAACGAAGAGTGGTCTGAAAATGGAGACCTTTCCCGGCGCCTCTCACTCAGCGTAAAGGTCTTGACCAATTTCCGCCCTGCTCCCCCAAATATTCCACCGAAATGCGAACCACTTGGGGAAGAAGGTACATCCAATTCATGTAGTGGTGGTTCGCGTTTCATCGGTCGAATAGTCTTAACTGATGCGGCGTTTGAGAAGTTTGACGTAGTTCGTTCAGGTAAATCGGGTCGACAATCGCGATCAGGAGACCAATTCCCAGACGAACCAGCACGGCTCAGGCAAAAATAATTTTCAGTTTCTCCATCGACAGGGCTTGCGACTACACTCTGAGACAATGGGTGGTCCCCTTCTCGATTTGGCTTCGGTGTTTTGATCATTTCCTCGTCGCCTCGCAGGCTTGACCGGCGTAATTCCCGCAAAATATCCTTACCGACAGTCATACTACTTGCTGAGGAGACAGACTGGGCATCACTGGAAGTAACAGAACTAGGAGCTCTTTTTCGAGATTCTTTTGAACGACCAAAGATATTACCTCCCCATCTCGCAACATTTGACCTAACTCGTTCAATAAATGGCACTTTGGTGACGGCACGTGTAACCTCCTCGTTCGATACTTCAATCTTCTTGCCCTTGCTCTGGTACCCAGGGTCTGTTTGCTCAGCCCAGACTTGTGGATCTTGAATATCTTGAAGCAACCATTGATGATGTTTTATGTCTTTGACAGTGATGCGTTTCGTAGGATCTTTTTCGAGAAGTCGTCGTAGTAAGTCTTGTAGCTCGTCATCGATTGGCTCGTAAATGAGTTCGCCTTCAGCTCGTTTGTTGACATTCGGCTGCTGGGTGGAAGGACTGTGAGCCTCGACTGGCTTTAAGCGTTGCCTTGGAATGAACACATCATTCTTCACGATGTTGTGAAAGAGACCGTATTCATCGTCACCAACGAAGGGAAGTCTCCCAAATACCATTCCGTAAAGGGTAACACCCAACGACCACACATCTACTGCGCCCGTGATTCTAGGCACCTTGCCAATTTTATCCTCGAACTCAGTACCTGTATAACAAAGCTCAGGTGCGTAGAAGGCGGGTGTTCCAACAGTCTTGGAGAGTTCGCGGGCATCGTCCAGTTCTGTGGCATCGGTCTCTGCAACTTGCTCATCTTCGTCTTCTCTAATTGGTCTTCCAAGATACGAAACACCAAAGTCTGAAATCTTGACCACTCGGTTTGCTGTTACCAGAAGATTCGCGGGCTTAATATCACGGTGGATAATTCCCTGGTAGTGAAGATATTCCAAACCAAGGACTGCATCTCTAAAAGCAGAACGAATTTCAGCGATCGTCAGGCAAGGCACATATCCCATATCATCCTCATCAGAGAACCAGTCCGATTCTGAAGTTTGATAAGCCAGTATACTCGAAGCCGTACTAAAGCGTCGGTTCAAAGAAGGGTCCGAGACAAAAGCGTTACACAGGGTTCCTTCTGTCACGACCTGTAAAGCTGAGTCATGCAAACGTCTTTCAAACTCACCAGAGGATGAAATAGAACGGGAAGGAGACGTCAATGCCTCCATATGATCTTGAACAGTAGATGTTGCCAGGGGCGACAAGGTATACTCAGGACCAAATTCATCGTCGGATTCAGCGCCATGCTCTAAACTCCAGGCGGGGATTCCGGCCATCTGTGTCGATATAGATCGCTTCTTTTTTCGTATAGCTTCTCGCCGGTGTCGACGCATCTGCATCCTCGCCACATACTGCATACTTTCTTCAATAGCAGATGTAGGCTCTAGGATGCCCTGCTTTTCTCTTTGAAATCGCCTTTTATCCACGGTGACGATTTCTTTGAGGCCCTTTTTTCGCCATACAATTTCCCCGTTTTCAACATATTCAAGAACAATGTAAACTTTTTGCTGATTTGGATCATCGATGACTTCGAGTAGACCAACGACGTTTGGGTGGCGAGCCTTCTTTAGTATGGCAACCTCCTTTTTTACTTTGTCTTCAGGATTCCCGAGTTTACCTAATCGCCGTCGCTTAGAATATCGTTGCACAATTTTGATGGCTACTCTCTGTCCGGTTCTCATATGACGGCCAAGCTTGACTTTTCCGTGTTCTCCGCGGCCTAGTTCACCGAGGATTTCGTACTCGTTGATAAGTTTATTTCCGGTTAGCAAATCCCGATCGACTTCAACAGTATGCGTTCTAACAAAATACGAGTATCATTAATATAAATGTCTCTCAAAATAGAGGTGGTACAGGGTGGGCATACTCTTTTGGTTCCTGGAAGTGGGTAGAATGCAAATATGACTTATGTATATGGAGGTCATCTGAGCCGACCGGTGGTGCAAATGGGCCCGAGAAGAGTCCAGGACTTGACATAGGAGTATTCCCAGCTGTTCTCGAGGTCTGATCGACGAGGTTCCCAGTCCATATCTGGGCAGGCGACTGAGAAGAGTGAGCGCAGTGAGAAGGATACGAGCTATGCGACCGAAGGAGCGGCGGTTGGTATGGGGTAGGGTAGATCTGTTGTTGGAGGACGGCGTAGGACTGGTTGGGATACACCGGAAGATCGTCTGTCCACATATCATCTTTGACAGATTGTTGTGAGACTTCCGTCAGTGGGCTTAACGGAGCCAGCTGGTTTACCTCGCCAGCACGCGGGGTGGTCGAGCTAGGCGACAAGGTCAAAGGGCAATTACCGGGATCTAAATGGCCGCCAGCTTGGCCCGCGAGCGAACCAAGGGAGCTTGAGGAGGTGTTGGTAGAAGCCGGCCTCGAGGTGTTGGAGGAGTGAGGGCGGTAGGGAAATAGGCTGAACTTTTGGGACAGGCTCCTGCGTTCGTCGGGCCGCCCTTCGCATTGTTGCAAGCTTCGTTGCCTCGTCAGAGTATTAGACAGCTGCCTTGAGATGGGGCTCATCGTTGGTGATTGGCGCGCGGACCCATTTTTTTCGGGACGATTGAGTGTTCCGCTTTCTGACTCACTCCGCGTGTGTCGAAAGCGGCGCTGCCTTCGCGGTCTTCCTCTGCCATCCCAGTCGTCGCCAGATTTCCTAGAAACTCCTTTCTGTGCATCCGTCATGCTGAGTTTAGTGTCCGGGGTCTGCCCGACTCGAACCCACAAGTGATTCGAGGCCGAAACGGTCCAGAAAGAAATAGTTCCACCACTCTATAACAAGTCAGGAACAGTTTTTTATATCCACATTGCCACAATTGGAATTGCCTGCGTGCGCCCTGCACTCAGTTGTACGGTAGAGCTTGGGCGTCCATATCAGGTCCGGGGCGTTGAGGTCGGGAGCCAGCACCGATCCCAGGTCGAATCCGGCTGGAGATTGAGCAGACGGGCGCAAGTTCGGGATGCAGTGGAATAGAGAGGCGCAAAGAGAGCGAAACGTGCGGTAGAGGGAAGTCAGCCAAGAGGTCGATATGGTGGAAGACAGGCGTTGGCCGGCAATAAAACCGTTTGCACCGCTGGAGAGGAGGCGAAAAAAAAAAGGATTACAACGGAAAGAATATGTAAGCGAGAAGTATGAACAAGCACGAAGGAAAGACGGGACGTTCCAGCAGGCGGGTGTGGGTGCGAGCCGGCGAGGGCGAGAATGACTGAGCCGTGAATAATCGAGTCTCGTCGTTCGCTCGGGGGGGCAAGAGCGAAGTTGATGTACTTTTTTGGGCGGGGAGGGGAGCGGTACTAGCGCGTACGTTGCGTATCGAACGGCCGGCCGCGATTGGGCCGCGCCCGCGTGCAGACGTGCGCCCTATGCACGCTAGTAACGACGGTACGGGCTTGTACCGCTGGTACGGCCGCTGGGAGTCTCCAGCGCACCGCACCGTCTATCGTATCGTATCGCCCGCCTGCTGGGAGGTCGACGTTGGCGGAGGAGGCAAAGACCAGCCAGCCGCCCGCGCACCCGGGCGGCACGCCCCTCCGTGCGCGGCCGCCAGCGCGCTCGCCAGGTCGGGGCGGGCTCCGGGCAGCGTGTCTTGGCCGCAGGGTGTATTCGTGGGCGTGCTTCTTATCATCGTTTGGACCCTTGATGGATATCCACCAGGGGTATGCATACCGGGAGTGCGGGAGTACGATATTCCCCTACGCCGGCCCATGGCACCCATGCATGCCCGGCGCTTTTGGGGCCCCAGCAGCTAGCAGATTTCAGTTGCACGTCGTTGAGTCTCGAGGAAGCCACTGCCGCGCAAGTGGCGGTGGGATGCTGCCCTCTCCTCCCTCACCGCGAAGCGACCGACCATGGCCTGTATTCGTTAACTAGCCTGCCGGGCGTGTCGATCTGAATTCAATGCTAAACCCGAGCGCAGGGGCCACCTAAAAAAGCGACGACCAGGATCATCAGGGCCAAGCCGCGCCGACAAAGTGACTTGCAGAGCCAACAGCGTCCGCGCTGCAAAACGAGCCTGATACGCAGCGCCAGAGCCACCGAGGAATCCCACAGGGGAGCCACTCACGTGTGAGCGCTGTCTGCGTCGCGGGCAGCACCAGCTCGCTGCACCAGCCCACGCGAACCCCTCTCACCACCACCACCGCTGCCGCCGCTGCCCACGCCCGGATCGCACTGCTGGCCGCTGGCCGGCCCTTCGCACGGCCTGTCCAGACGGCCGTCCTCGCCTTGAAGGCGCTCAAGTGTGGGCGCGAAGTTTCATCATAACCAGTATCTGTCGATACGGCGCCATACGCGTATTTTTGGCTAGGCAGGCCTGGGAACAGGGTTATCTCAGGGATGCGAATATGCACGTCGGGCGGCCCAAGCACCACCACCCTATCCATTTCCCTCCAGCTCGCGCCAGGCGTCGTTATCAAGTTTCCCACCATCCCTGTCTCCACGGCCGTCGAACGTCGTTGATGCTGAGCGATAAAACACAGGCGGCCGCGTGCTGGCTGCCTTCCAAAACGAAGCCACCGCTGGCCTCTTGCTACGAGTTCCACCCCCCTGTTCCAATCTTCCCAACGTGAAACAATGTGGTGCTGCTCCACCAAACCCATGAAAAGCGTGTCCGGAGCTTCCAAGACAACCTATTATTATTTCAACCTCCCAACGCCGTGCTGCTATGGAACCTCAACCTCCCAAGGTGCTACGGGGCATTTTGACAAATAAATCCCTTGAGACGGGTCGATCCCCCCCCATCTTCTCCCGGCATCGAGTTTCCGCCGAATATTGCATGCCGTCTGTTATGCATTATTATTATAGCTAATTAACTCTTTCGACTGATCTGTTGGCCAAAGTGGTTTCTGAATAAATGGCCGTCTTGGCCGCTTTGCCCCAGTCTCGGGGGTGGGCACCAAAGCCCGAACCACGCCCGGTTTGGCCATATCACTCGTGTCCCTCGAGGATGGACGCGGCACGACAGAGTGCATTCTATACAATATTATCCCTGGACGGAGCTCGAGCCCAGACTTACAACCATTCTTTTTTCATCTTCTTTGTTGCTTCTCCCGAACGAAAAGCAATTATTATCATTTGAAATCCGCGGCCATCATTGGCACCAGGAGAGCACGCCATACCACCCACCGGCGCTGGTGTGGGTTTCCCGACTCCGTTATTTCGCTGCGACCATCAGCCTCGGTGGGTAGTGCAAAACGCCTTTGTATCTTTTGTAGAGCGAGTGATCCCACGTCGAGCTCCCAGCAAAAAGGGTTCTCCGCGAAGCGCAGCGCACGATCTGTGCTCTTCGTATGATGAGCTATTTTTTCTTCTCTGGTGCATAGCGTTTTCCACGGCGCGTCGTATGAGCTGACCAGCAGCCGCACACCACGTAATCGAAGGAGCGCGCACGCACACAGCTGTTCGAGCTGCTGAGCTGCCGCGTCGATATCAGATGCATCCAGGCTGCACAGCGCATATCACCCCGTCCCAGACTGTACTAACCCCTTCGCCGTAACATACGCGTCACGTGCATACGCAGCCTGCACGACACGGGCGCGCTAGTCCGCATCTGGCCGGGCGTGCATCGCTCGCTTGAGTTTTGGCCTCTGGCATGCTTTCTTCTTTGGCGGTTCAGCCGCCACTCAAATAATAATGAACCGGGCAGCACAGCCAGGCCTGCTTGGGTTACAAGGCCTGTCTCCCTAGTGCTGGCTGCCCTTTTGGCTGCCCGCACGGACACCCTCTCCTCCCGCCGCCTGCGAGTCGAGGCCGACTAACCTGCAGCTTAATAAATGGCTTTCCGTTTAACGAGAAAGGATCTTTAGTGTGCTGATGGCCTGGTTGAGACCTCAAAGGTTGTTTTTGCGGCACGAATCATGGGCCCGCAGGCACCGCCGCAAAATGCTTGATAGCGACGCTCCAGCCGGTGCTTTTATTGGCCCACTCAGGGCCGTCCACATGCGAATAAGTTGGCACTGCGGCCGTGAGCCATGATTCTTACGTATTACAAGCAGCGTATGTACGGAGTATGTACTCACGTATCGATGGATCGGGGTCTTGCAGAGCTAAACCGGATATTGGAACAAGTGCTGCCACTTCGCTGCTACCAAATATCTCGTGCAGGAGCAGTCCTGATGGGTAGCATCCAAGCCGGGGTTCTTCCGTGCAGGGATACATGACAAGACGGGCATCTAAGTGGACTAACCACACCACGCCCTTGCATGGCAGCCACGGAGTGCAGGAAGAGTCCGCAGGGGGGGGCTGAAGAACGGAGAACGTCTTAGGGGATTTGCTCCATCGAGGTAGCATATATGGCTTGTTTACTTGCGGGCGATCGACATGAATATGGGTTGGATTTAAATAGCCTGTGGAGGGCCTTGCGTCGAAGGGCTGGAGACAGGTAATGTTTGTACAGACCCGGGTGTACGGCGACTAACGGCTGGCAAAACTACATGACTGGTTTTCATATGTTAAATGCATCTCCCCTTAGTCAAAATTCAGTGGCGATCTCGACATCGGATGAGCAGCGTCCGAAAAGGTCTCCTTCGACCACCAAAAACCTCGGGTGACGTCAGGCATCGGCCTCGAAGATCCGGGGCTCGAATGTCCACTGCCAGTAGTATTTTTGTCTCTTCTATTTTGCTTAGGCGAGATGCGAATGTCCCGTGTACACTCCAGTCCGCCAGCGCCACAGGCGTGCATCATTTGACAAGGCAACGCGTCGTTGATGGTGGGCAGCCGCCGGAGATTGGCTGTACACCTTGATAAGCCGAACTATGAGAAACACCACACCATCAACGCGCCTCCTGGACAAGTAAAGTGCGCAGTTTCCGCGTAAATCGGCATGACACAGCATGTCCTTTTGTACGATCTGGAGCTCTTGGCGTGAGGCAGACACCCCAAACGTCGTCGATGCCCGGGCTGGATGACCATGCTGCACGAAATATGCAATCTACATATCTTTGGTTCAGGACGGAATACCCCTCGGATCAGCCTTTGCGCAGAGATACGGTGAAAGCAATACAGGCTCATCCCTTTATCAGTGCGCCACTCTAGGCTCCTGTCGTTGTTCTGTGGATGGTTGGATGGGTGGGAGAAGACATGCGCTGAGTGGCTTGGGGCAGCCGAGCATCCCTGTTTGGCAGGAGATCTCCCCTTTTAAAGCTCAAGCGCAGAGATCGCATTGGCTGATGGCTCCAGGCGGCCAGAGTCAAGTCACGAAACACACGCAACAGGCCACGACGTCCAACACCTTGCATCCGCTTAAGACATGTCGTGGGCACATCATCGACGCTAAAAGCCTCGAAGGATGCCTTGTCCTTTCTTTGTATGACACGCACTTCACGCTCCAAGCCTGCAGTCTTCAGGCGCCTGGCCTTCAGGTCGCTGCACCGTCGATCGTCGCGTAGGAGTCCGCGACGGATCCTCGCGGCGCTTACGTCATACTTCTCGGAATAACATATTTCCGTAGCCCCACCGTTCATGTCACGCATGCTAGCGGCTTGGCGTTTACGTTGCCGCGCAACCGGCGGCTTCCATCATTGTTGACGGCAAACAAGCGAATTGTTGATATGAGAGCGCTTCGCCTTGTTTCAGACCCCAAAAGCACTTTGACGACTAGCCGCCTAGTGCGCGCGTACTTGCAGCTTGCCCCGCCTCGTGTCCGTGAGGAATTTATGTTCTATTCCTTTGTCAAATCCCCTCTTCCAATCGGCTGGTTCTACTCGAGGAGGCTCCGCTATGGGAATACTTCATGTATGAGCTTCTGTGACACTTGATAATCAGACCAGCTTTGTTTCGCCACTGCCCACCTATCACATATCGAGCGCATCGATCCTGCGCAACAATGGTGTGATCCCGCAGAACAACTCACATCGAATGTCTTTCACCCCTGCAGTCGCCATGGTCAAGGCTCTTTGGATTGGAACTTTCATTCAACTTCTTGTAGGGCTGGTTAGCGGTGATCCTCCAAAGTTGCCGTACAATCCTTCCTACATTTGGGTACCCTCTTCCGAAAATGGCTCCTCTCTAGCATACATCCTTTTACCGACTTCTCAAGGCTCAAACGAACTTCAACTACAAGCATTCAATATATCGGCACCATTTGACACGTCTGCGCCACCCCTTGTGAATGTAAGAAACAAGCCACCTTTCTTATCCAATAATGGCATCAAGAGCATCATCCCTCTACCCAACAAGGATGGTGTTCCAATGGTCTATGCTGGCGACTGTGAGTCTGGCGCTGCTCAGCTATGGCGTTTTGTCCCAGATGCTCGTCGTCTTGGTGAAGGAACTTGGTCAAATCTATCATTAAAAGAGGTCGAAAGCAAAGAGGGTCTTGGAAGAGTCGGCCCCAATAATCTGGCTGCAGCAATCACTTTCCCCGCTCTAACGAGGGGTAACCTTTTTGATGTTTATGTTTTTGGTGGGATGTGCCCAGTTGTCGGCGGAGAGGCGAAAGGCTGGATGTCCAAAGCAAATTATTCTCGAGAAATGATCGTGCTCGACCCAACGAAGTCGCCTGGTGACGGTTTATACTTGGCTTCTATGTTATCGAGCAGGTCCCCGCCAGTCCGCCAAGCCGGTTCCACCATAACTCCCCTGCTCCCTACGCATTCAAACTCTTCAACCGGAAATCAGCTTCGCCAACAGCGATTTGCCCTGGTCGGGGGTCACACGCAAGATGCCTTTATTGACATGTCAAGAATTGCACTGTTTTCATTACCAGAAGGTACCTGGAGCTATGTTCCAATCACCAATTTGCCAACCTCGTCAGGGCAGCAAAGTGTACGTGGCATCGAGCCACGATCGGGACACACTGCCATTTTGGCACCTGGAGGAGACAAACTCATTATTCTAGGTGGTTGGGTGGGCGACATTACAGAGCCAGCCCAACCGCAGCTCGCAGTCCTACATCTTGGCGAAGACTATGGTGGCTCAGGGGAATGGGCTTGGAGTATTCCGAAGGATTCTTCTCCCGGCATACCGAAAGGTATTGGAATCTTTGGTCATGGAGCGGCAATCCTACCGGGAGGCATCATGGCTGTTGTCGGTGGATATGAAATTTCGCGGTCATCGAAACGGTCCGTCTTGGAACGTCGTGATAACACACAGGTATATCTTTTCAATATGACATCCGAAAGTTGGATCACGTCTTATGCTCCCCCTGAAAAACCTGGCCCCGTGCATAGTCCCGGCCCTCTGTCTTCCATGGCACAAAAGGCAGGATTGGGTGTTGGCCTTGGGGTTGGAATATCCGCCGCAATGGCCGCCCTGGTCTTTCTTTTCTGCGCTCGAACGCGTCATCGGAGGGTGCATAAACGAAACCGCGAGCAAGAGCTTCGAAAGCTAGCGCTTGGTGCCGAGCGACCGCATATGAATGTTAGTGAGACCCCTAGCGGCCTATACCAGCCCATGCTTCCAGCAACTCCGAGCCGACCAAGAGCCAATTCACACCACGACAGCGATTGGAACGACAAAAATGCGTCAGCTGCAGAGAGAACAAGCCTTTTGGTGGATACCACCCCTACTAGAACGTCCGTGGGAATGGCCTCAAAAACATACCAGCCCGCAGGATACTCAGACGATTTGCGACGGCCCTCTACTCTTGGGATTATCCACCCCATTGACGAAGGAGAAGAGTATGGTGATTACCCACAGGCTGGTACCGAACCGTCTGGAGCTCGAGGCACACATCGGCATAGTAAAAGCTCAGCAATGTCGGATCCATTTCGAGATCCTCCATCGCCCGTCAAGGCTTGTCTTTCACCTCAAATGATCATCCCGCCTCGTAGCGTTGACAGCAGCAATACAGAATGGGCACATGGGCATGGATCCAATGTTATGACACCAGCAGTTATCCAGGGCCGACGAACTGACTCACTTAGCAAAACAGACCGTACGCTGTCTGGTCTCTCTGAATCTTCAGGATCTACCATGTCAACATCCTCGTATAGAACAAACTCCATGGGATTGAATCAGATGTCTGCTTTCCGGCACAGCTCTCTACCATTAATTGAAATGCCCGAGGAATCAGCCTTTAGTCTTGAGCTGCTCACTAACGAGCTAAAGTTGAGGTCAGATAAGACTAGCAATGAAAAATTGAGTCGCCCAGAGAGCGGGTCGCTGCTTGGTAGCTCCTTGCTGCCGTCGGAGACAGGGGAGCCACCTGTCCAGAGCAAGAGTAAAGCATTGGACTGGGTCGGATCCGTTCGTCGTGCGCTCAGCTTCAAAAGGTCAGACACGTCTGACTCAAGCCTCGCTAATTCGGACCCACCGCTAGGCCTCGAGCGTAGCTCCAGCTCCAGCCCGACGAAAAGTTTCTACAGCGCGCAGGAACACATGTCGGGGTATTCAGACGACGGCGCCAAACCGCCGCGTCGGGCATTCAGCACGAACTCGTCCGCTTTGCAGCGCAAACAGGGCGCGAAGGACTGGAACGTCAAGCGATCATCCACCGAGCGATCTACGCTGCTCCGGAGAGGAACATACGAGGATGCGCTGTCGGCGGGCCGACGAACCGGTGGCAGTAGCAGCAAAGACATGGATTCTCCCGCCCTGGCCGGCTATGATGACGAGGGAGACGACGAAGAAGAGGACGACTGGGATGTGGAGGCCGCGGCAGAGGGCCGAGTAGTGCAGGTTACGTTTACGGTGCCCAAGGAGAAGCTGAGGGTTGTCAACGCAGGAGCTGGGGATGGGCTGGACGACGATGATGATGGTAACGATCATGGACGGAATAATGCAGCAACGGCCAGCAAACAATGACGGGGCGTCGTGAGATTTGATGTAGATCCGGCATCAAAATTGGGAAAGTTTATGATATTTTTCTACCATCAAGCTGCATGGCATGGGTTTCCAGGGCCAAGGTGTACTATTTGGAGGCATATTCTTGGTTTTTTTGAGACGTTTCTGAGATTTGTGGGTTTCCCTATTTTTTTTCTTAGTATTTAGTCAGTTTCACGAGCTTCCATTCGTCTTCTTTGCCCATTGGCCTTATTTCGGATATTGACCCCCCTGTTCCGCGCGGTGCCAGTGCATGGGCTGCAAAGCCAATTCGCTGCCAAGCGCTGCATCCATTTTGATCGGCGGCAAACGCTGGATGGAGGACAACTAGATCTTGCAATCGCAACTGCGTAGGGATAACGATATTCTCGTTTCTGCATATGGCCGCGTGCATTTGAAACTGCTGTTCCAATGCCACCCAACAGGAGCTGAAAAGGCGAGCAGGCGAGCAAAACAGAATACCAGAGAAAATACCGCAAGTGGTGCCACCCCGACAGCTGTGTAAACAAACACACGTCTTGACATATGCATGCAAGTGCGGGAGGAATAATGGTAAGATTACATTATTATTGTATGCGTGGATGCATATCTTCTAGTACATACAGATATGAAAACAGAACACAGCATACGTACTCTGTATATACGTCTCGGTCAGGTCCCGCTGGGGAGATGTATGTGCTCGGTAAGTATGATTTCTCCAGTTGTCAGTGCACCGGAGTGGGCGTTAGAAGTTAGAACACCGCCCAAGCTTACTGTTCAACCATCCGGCCAGATTGAATGCATCCTGTGCACAGTCGAATGCATCGGCGACGCGCGTGAGGATCGGTGCCCAGTCTGAAATCTCGTGGAGAGCGCGGTCGCGAAGGATTTCGTGGACCCGGTAAGACTGAGCCTGAGCGGCCTCTGGATCAGCGGACATGGAGATGTGAGACTCGACTATCTTCCCCGATTTCAGGCGGAGAAATACATGGGTCTGGGGGAAGACCAGCATTAGGCCGGCGTTAGTAAGAGAGGCTTGGTTATGGTATGATTTGTATGGGAGGTTTTCGGAAGATACACGTACAGAAGGATGGAGATGGGGCGGTGGAACCGGTCTTGGGCGCGGATCGTCCTCTGTCGGTCGAGTAGAAAACGTGAACTGCGGGCATTGGTTGTATGTCCAGTCCAACGACTGAAACTCGCTTTTTAGCCCTGGCCTAGAATGCAATACGCCATGCGGTAAGCGACGTACCTGAAATTCACGAATATTTTCTTCGATTTCTTCGACACCAACCACGGTATTATTCGTGAAGGCGCCGACGGTCCAATTACTACCCGATCGAAAACCCGGTTCGTTATGAAGATCCTGGGCGCTGAACAATGCATCCGCTTCCACGTTGTACATCAAAGCGAACTCCTCCATGATGCCGGCGACCAAAGACTGCATGAGATTCGCTCCCGTCCGGCCACCGAGAGAAGAGCATACATTGCCAATCGGAGACCTGACACTCTCAACCCCCTTCGCTCGCAAATACGGCCGTGCAGGGGATCTCAAAAAGGATCCAATCGCATTGAGATTTGGGGACTCAATTAGACACGTCCCATGGTGTAATGCTCGAAAGCTCGACAGCTTATACGCTGAACCGGAAATCTTGACGGCGCGAGGCGTTTTCTCCACAGGCGGACTCTCGGCATCATTCATACTGACCTTAACAACTTCCCTTGCAGGTGGTTGATACGAAGTACCCTGACTCATGACAATATCATGCCGGGCGTTGACACTTGTATTGGCTGCTCCCAGTTTGTGTAGAGCTCGAACAACCATCTCAGCGTGCTTATCGCGATGGAAAATTGGCTTGGGGCATATTACGCTGAAGTTCAGGTTCCCTTCATCGTGAAATACGGTTCCGCCGCCGGATTTTCGCCGTAACAATGTAATCGGAGGTCCCGAGTATATCGTGTCACGTTCCAAGCTTCCTCGCCGATCGAGAAGGTGTAAATTCGTCTCAAGCCATGGATTCTGATTTCTGCCAATAACGACGGTGGGACGATTTACGTAGAGAAAAAGGATTTTCGATCCATTGGGCGTATTTTTATAAAGGTAATTCTCAATTGAGAGGTTGATATACGGGTCAGTGGTGAGGGATTGGTAGATCTGGTGTTCGGCGGAGGTATCGCTAACGAGGATTGGGAAATCGGGAAGTTGGTGGGCGGAGTGCAGAGATTGTTGCTGAGAGAAAGAAAGCCGCAATGACTGTTTTAACCGGGGTAAATTTCCCGTAGAAGCTTTTGAAAACAATCCCCAATGCAATTGACGTAGAGGGAGCATTGGAGGCGGAGGGGCGGAGGGAGGGTGGAATTCTCGCCGGCGGAGAGTTTGGCCGCGGCGGAAGTTAAGAAGGGCGGAGGCACTAGGCCGTTCAAGGCAAGGCCCATTTCGCTGAGTCATCGACAGCTTCGATATCGGAGCTTATCGAAGCTTCAGCAGTGAAGACTCATCTTTTCCAACGGTACGAATATTTAAACATCTACAGCTTAAGCGCTTAAGCAGAGGCGTAGAACTATTCTAAAATAAACCAAAGTGGTGGTTTAGCCATTTTTACCTCGCTCTGATTGCCCCCTCTTTGTACCACTGCCCCGCCAAAATGTCTACTTTCGGAGAATATTTCAGGGTCACTACGTACGGTTTATTTTCGTTTCCATTATTTTCTCGTATACCCCGATCTAATATCTCTCAGATATGGTGAATCCCATTGTCGCTCAGTTGGTTGCATTGTCGATGGCTGCCCACCGGGAATGGAGTTGTCGGAAGATGATATCCAACCTCAGATGACTCGCAGAAGACCTGGACAAAGCGCCCTCACCACGCCTAGAAACGAGAAAGATAGAGTAGAGATTCAATCGGGTACCGAATTTGGCATCACATTGGGCACGCCAATTGGTATGATTGTGAGAAACGAGGATCAACGACCCAAAGACTATGGAAATAAAACAATGGACATGTATCCTCGACCTAGCCATGCAGACTTCACTTATCTAGAAAAATATGGTGTCAAAGCCAGTAGCGGCGGTGGCAGGAGTAGCGCACGAGAGACTATAGGTAGGCTACCAGCACTATGCCTGCTTGATGGAAGGTCACTAACCAGCCCCGAAACCAAGGTCGCGTTGCTGCCGGCGCAATCGCGGAAAAATACCTTCGGCTGTCGCATAACGTTGAAATCACTGCATTTGTATCATCAGTCGGCAGCGAACATCTCTTTCCCCCAACACCTGAACATCCCAGCGCCTCTACAAACCCTGACTTTTTAAACCTCCTGGAAACCATTAATAGAAAGACCGTTGATTCCTTCGTTCCTATTAGGTGTCCAAACACTGAGGCAGCTCAGCGAATGACCAAGGTTATTGAACAATTCCGTGACAATCAGGATAGCATTGGCGGGACCGTTACATGCGTTATTCGGAATGTACCCGTTGGCTTGGGAGAGCCGTGTTTCGACAAACTTGAAGCTAAACTTGCTCATGCAATGCTTAGCATTCCTGCTACTAAAGGGTTTGAGATTGGCTCTGGTTTCTTAGGTTGTGAAGTGCCGGGATCAACCCACAATGATCCATTTGTTGTCACTACAACAGAAGTGAAGAATGAGGATGGTACACCCACCAACACTCAACGTCTCACTACCAAAACGAATAATTCGGGTGGTATTCAGGGAGGGATTTCTAATGGCGCTTCCATTTACTTCCGTGTTGCATTCAAGCCACCAGCGACCATTGGACAAGCTCAGACAACCGCAACCTACGCGTTTGAGGAGGGTGTTCTCGAGGCCAAAGGACGTCATGATCCTTGCGTTGTACCACGTGCAGTGCCAATCGTAGAGGCGATGGCGGCTCTGGTTATCATTGATGCATTGATGGCACAGAATGCTAGAGAAACAGCAAAAAATCTTTTACCTCCCTTGTCTAGGACTATTCCTACACGCCCAGCGAGCATGCAACCTCAGCCGTAATGACATTGGCATTATAAAGAGTTTCATTGGCTTTTGGGATCACGAAATAAAAATGTTCGCAATTCTATTCCTCAATTTGAGAAATCCACATGTGAGGGACGTTTTGCTGAATATTTTATTGCGGGGCATAGCAAATTGAAATATAGAACCTTAGATTTAAAATTTAACGTGACGCTCATGAATATGGTCTTCTGTCCTTACAACACGTTTGATACACTGAAACCACCCGTTGCTTGTAGTCTCCGTTAATAGAGAGGCTATTGTACAATAACCAAGTAGCGATAAAATATAACCTTTGCCTATACAACATACAACATAAACTGGGTGACTCTTTTTTGAAGAATACTTTCTGGGGTCCATAGAAGATAGTCTCGCTATCTTGCCAGGTCTGTAGTGCTCGCAGCTTTCTTTTCATTCAGAAAAGTCTCTAACTCAGCAGGCATTGGCGCCGATTGTGGGCGACAAGGGTGATATGCCAATGGTGACGTGAACTCATATGGCCTGCGGGTTTGTCGCATTTGTACAGCAGCGCTTGGTCTAGCTGGCATAGCTCTGTGACGGTACCCTAGACTGTTTCCTCTTTCTGTTCTAACTCTGTCATTAGTAGTGGTCAAGCCGGCGGAGGGCCCTATATGGCTGGCCCGTTTACCGAATCTTCCACTAGAGTCTGGCAGCTCAGGTGGCATGTTAACATGATATAATAGCTCTTGTTGAGCTTGTTTCTGGTTGTATTTCGAACGGGCACGACGTAGAAAAAAGCATATGGACAGAAAAATGAGAGTAATTCCGGCTGCAACCGAGCCAGCTACGATACCACCGATCTGGCCAGCGGATAGGTTAGGAACAGAAGTCGAGGGGAGGATTGTTATGGTAGAAATGGGTGATATGGAGGACGAAAGTACTTCTGAAGTGGTTGTCGATTCCGGTAGGGTTGAAGTTAGGAAGTCAGTTGATAATGAAGCCATCGTTGACGATAGCAACAATGTGCTAATTGTTGCAGATGACGGTTCTCCGCTTGCTCGTGTAGAACTCGAAGATATGCTGGATATGTTTTCCTTTTTCACACAGCATTGGATATCATCTGACCCAAGACACGGGAACAGCTATGTACTACCCGTTAGTTCTAATATCTCAGATCTTGGAAGTAGCAGGGCAATACCGCATCTGTGCTTGAGAAGAATTTGCCTTTAGGACACTCATCTTTTTTATTCCTACAGAACCCTGTCCCTTCCACTACAAGACATGACCTGATGACACAGCACTTTTTTATCAGTCAGCATTGTGGACAAGGCCACCACTACGAATACAAGAGGAACATGACCTCACCTGGATTTCATCAGAGCCACCTGAGCAAAAGCCTTTCATTGAGATGCCAGGACCTTAAGATAATGAGCGGATATATAGGGGTAAGGAATATGCAAAAGTACGTATTTGGGAAGATCGCACATCGTTTTGTTGGCATGCAAATACCCTCTCCCTGGTCAGAAACGCACGCATCATTAGGAGTATCGCCCTTTTGCGAGAAATGGCGTCGAGATCCCAGGAATTTTTCCAGGCGGCCCATATTAATGAATTGTAGTATACCGTTGCTGGACGGGTTGGTAACATTAACTGAAGCGGGGTGTCCATTGAACCCCAAAATAACACTATATACGACCCAGAGGGAACAGAGGAGGCAATCGCTAGTGGTTAAAGTAGCATCACTGATAGTAGGGTATGGCGAAAGCTTTAGGAATAATTATTTTAATCTCCTTCACCGCATGGTGGCCTTTTGTAAGAAGATCAAGCACGGTCCCAATTGCATGGTAGCAAGGTAAGGAGTCGTGCAGTTCTGGCCAAACAGCCATCGAACATGGTATCATAGCGAGCAAACGTGTCAGCTTCGTTTTGTCATCGCAAAATTCCAGCCCGAGGTGTAGATTCCACATTGCTCTTGAGCTAGCTAGACCACATAGAGTCCTGATCGGGGTTCAAGCCCAACATATTCCAACCTTATTTGGCCCGTGTGGCCGTTTCAAGTCACATCGCCAGCGGTTGTTGGTCGGCTGGAGCTGAACAACCGCGTAAAACTTCTCTTTCCTTCCCGTCCAGCATAATAAAGGCCCCCCTAGTGACGTTTCAGCTGTTGGGAACGGATCTGGTTGTCTGGATTCGGTCAAGCAAGTCTCAAAGGCAGCGAGAAATAACAGCTACAATTGCTGCTTTATAAAGGTCGGTACCACATAGCCATAGGTCAAGAATAGCTTGGAAAGCTCCTTATGCCCGGAGGCGCCAAGATAATAGTTGCTTGATATTTAATTGTTTAGTGAACAGCACTTCCCATGCTGACAAGTTGCTGACATTGTGGTCAGGTCGGCCCGTGCACATGCCCCTTGTATGATCCATTGCTTGGGTGGACACAGATTGAGAGAATGCTGTATTTAGAAACCTGTTATGTGTGAATGATAGTTGGAAGACGTAATCAAAATAAATATCTGTAGGCAAGCCAATATCAATGCCAAGTTGGTAGTAGGGCCAGTACGCTAATTTAAGAATCAAATGAAAGATGCCCAGCAAAGAGAATACTATATCAATAAAACTCGCTAACCAGCCCTAGGCAGGAAACTGCCAAACAGCAGAAAACACCGCCCACAAGTATGACTCTTGTTGTAGATGAATACAAAGTTAAATGCATGCCTGTCCACCATACACTGCAGATCCGCCAGATAGAGCGCCGAAAAAGGATATCATAAGTTTCATTCATCAAAAGGACATGGATCAAAGACACGATAGAATTTGGCAAGTGGACAGGGAAAAAGCGAAGATATGTGTTATACTACCGCCGACGACTTCGAAGGGAATAGCGTGGAGTAGGAACTATATTTTTCATAGGTATGGGGCTATCTTCTAAGCTGAGGCCATTAATCGAAGGGCCCGGGGTGCGATGACGAGCGGAGAGGATAGGAGATGGTGGCTCCGATATCGTGGACGTGTCGTACTCAGCAGAGGAAACCGATGTGACGGATGCAGGGGACATGAAACGATCTGTGGAACCAAAGGACGAGGAGAGAAGCTGCGATTGAGTAATTGTCGAAAAAGAAGCTAGGGTAGACTCCGCTTTAGGGACGGGGTGAGAGGTGCTTTGTCTGTTGAGTGTGCTCGAATTTGGATGCAAGGGTTGAAGTGCGGGGGAAGGTTGATACCGTGGAGGTTGCTTTTTAGCCGGTGAATGATCCATTCGAAGACTAGGCTCCGGCTTTGATAGGAAAGAAGCGCGGGTGGGAGTTCGTTCTCCGCTAGAAGTGGAGAGAGATGGCGACATTAACGGAGGCGTTTCCGGTCGTCTATTCTCTGGTTGAATTGGGGCCTGCGCAACAACACTCGGTTCCTTTCTCTCGAACAAGAAACGAAGCCCGAATAGCTCTTGGCCTGTCAAAAAGGATACGAAGTATATTCCAGCATTATCAAAAGTTGTAAACTCCTCAAAGTGGCCTGTGCGAGTCAAGGCAAAATAGGCACAGCCAAGTAGTTCAGCCACGGATAAAAATATATCAGTTGTTCTCCAATGAACCATGGGTTTCATCAATAATTCAAGCAAAGAGAATCCGGCCACAAGGAAACTAAGGGATAGCACAACCGTTTCAGTGGTGTTTCTGGGTAAGCCCAAAGGTCGAGAGCCAACCCATAGCGTCAAGCCAAAAACCAAAAGGATGCTCTTCAAGAGATGGAGCGGTTTATTTGCTACAGGCTCGCTTTCCGCAGTTTTCGATTTAGAATGCCGTTCGCCTTTCCCTGGGCTATCTGCAATGGAAAATGCCTTGTCAAATAAGCTCTCCAGACCAGTCTCCGCCTTAAAATCACTTTGGGGAAAGAATTTCGGAGGTGCCATCACCATGTCACTTGATTTCGTCAGACTTTTGCTGTCATGAGACGTTGCAATGGTTGGTTGTAAAATTGGCGCGGTATGGAAAGGGTTGGGTTTCTCAGGGGGTCTAACTAAAGGTGTCGGCCTAGGGTTGCGGAGCTGCCATGATGGCGGCTTGGGGGCTGGAGGTAATTGTCCTTGAAACGGGGATGGAACAACAACAGGCTCAGGTTTTCTTCGGCTTAGATGAAAGCTGGGTTGAATCGCTTGCTGATGGGAAGGAGTCCAATCCATGGCATCGGAGTCGTATGAGGGGTCTAAAGGAGGAGTTGGAGGTATATAGGGCTCTGGAGTGGCGGCACGAGGAGCAGCGAGTTTTGTAATCGGAAATCGCGGTACATCATGACTTAGGCTAGGAGCTGCTGCCTGAGAGATCGAAAGGGGTGGCCGTGGGCCATCTTTGTCAGTCCTTGAATTTGTTGTAGTTAGAGAGTCAAGATTTTCATTCCACGAGACAATAGGTTTAGCCGAAAATTGAATCGATGCTCTGGAGGCAATGGTTGTCTAAAATCATCAGTTCCCTATCCGTCTTAGGTACAGCGGAACTTACAAATAATGTGAAGAGTCCTATAAAAATATGAATCGCTCGGGAAAGGTTGGGATTAAGGTCGGTGATCGATGTATCTTGTAACATAACCCAGCTGATAAATCTGGCAACGAGCGCAACGATCTGTATTCGATAATATTCACGCACTCCAGTTATACGACCAGACCGTCCACTGACCTTCGATCGAAGTTGCGGATTCCACCACAGCGAGAAGACTCCTAGAACCAATGCTAGCCCAGCATACGGCTGTAGTGTCATTGCGCATTCCTTCGACATACAGTACGTTTCAACACCTTGCCAAAAACATTGTGAGAGAATCTTGGATGGCTGTGCATATTCTTGGTACTCAAGAGAATATCCAATATCTGGTATACAGCCCGTGATATCCCAGAGCAGCTGTCCAGTAATGCTGGCCCAAAAGGATACAGCACCAGTAGAAACCAAAAGACTGCGCCATCTCCAGTTGCCTTTATTGCGCCCGGTTCTGCCGCCCCTACTACGCTCCATCATGCGTCGTAAATGGTCGGCTTTCGCCGCATATCCCGCCTGACGAATGCGCCCAATGACTTTCGGTTCGCAACGTTCGCATACTTGTGGGTAGCGGCTCTCGAGACTCTTTCGGTATTCTGGGTACGACGCTTCGTAAGCGTCATAATCCGGGTGCGATTGAGGTGGAAGATAGGATGCAAGGGTTTCGGTTAACAGGTATTGGTTTTTTAGGCACGTTGAGCAGAATATGGATGAATCTGAAGATCGATCTACCTGCGCATGGGAGAGAGGTCGGGCGTATTGGGGTTGGCTGGGTTGAAACGATGCTTCAGCGGGCGGGGGGTCCGTTATCTCACCATTCTACATCTTAAGTTAGCTGTCTACCGTTGTGTGAAATATCATACTCTTGCAGTGCGCGGACAACACGCATACCTCATCGAGATGGTTTACTGCCTGGCATTCAGAACACCTCCACTGACGTGTCGAGCCCTTCTGAGGCTTCGATGACCGGGACCCACAATAGAAGCAATGAAGGCGCTTTTGGAAAAAAAGGGCCATGGCGCCCTGCAGCGTAATAGCGACAGGATTAGAGGGTGCGCGATCGCAGATGGCGAGTAAACAGTCCCTAAACACAAATTTCGAGGAGTTAAGCTGCCTAATCGCCGGATCTGCGCTAGCCGCTTGCGGCCACCAATAACAGCATTGAGGTTCCGTCCAGATTGTCTTCTATCAAAAGCGAAGTCCAGGGGTACCCTCAAAGAGCACCGGTTACTATTATGTTCTCGATTATCACCATGGCAGATCTGCATGATGTTTAATTGGGCGCTCTCCTTTCTCTCCCTTTCTCTCCTAGGTGACCCAAGACATCTGGAGATCCCTAGTCCTTTCATTTTCTATCTTCTTCATGATTGATATATTTCAGATAGGCGTGCTGTTCACTTGGTAGCTACTTGAATTCTACAATGAGTGCTGCAGCTATAGCTACAGCAATTTGTATAGTTGCTGCCTCAGCAACGTTTTTTGTTATCTCGGTTGTACGTGGCTTTTCCAGAAGCGAGATGTTTGATATGGTTATTTCTAAACTTCTCTAATAGGTCTACCTGACCCGCCTCACAGATGTTTCAGCTAAGCATGTCAGGTCGCGCCGCGGTATTCATCTTTTTATTGTACTGGGGAGCGGTGGGCATACTGAGGAAATGCTATCTATGATGAGACATGCGCGATTGAATCCTGGGATGTACTCGAGACGCACCTATCTTGTAAGCACAGGAGATTCATTTAGTATGAAAAAAGCCGCAGAACTTGAACGAGAGCTACTTCAGCTCAACCAGTTCTACAACCAAGCAGGAAAAGGAAAAGTTAAGAAACGCTCCGGCAACAACGTTATGCGTGCCAAATCTCCGAGTTCTCAAGGAGAATATACAATTATTACCATTCCCCGCGCGAGGAAGGTACACCAGAGCCTTCTCACTGCTCCCTTTTCGACTCTACACTGCTTCTGGATGTGCTTACTGGCGCTCCGCGGAAAACATCCAGATCAGATACGTTCAACCGTTGCGCCATCCCAAGCCTTGGGCTATCCAGACTTAATTTTAACAAACGGTCCGGGAATGGCAGTCTGTGTTATTGTAGCGGCGAGGATATTACGCTGTGTCAGCCGGGGGTTTATCACGGATGCGCCGCGCTCTGGAAAACGCGGCAGATCGCGCCACGATAAACAGAGACGATATCTTCGGACTATATTCATTGAATCCTGGGCACGTGTCAAAACGCTGAGCCTCTCCGGGAAGCTTGTCCTTCCCATTGTGGATCGGTTTCTTGTTCAGTGGAGCACCCTGGAAGGATATCAGAGCTGGAATGGAAAGAAAGCTGAGTATGTCGGGCAGATACTAAGCTGAAGGAGAAATTGTCCTATAAGATCTCTTCTTGCCAGGATTGAACCATATTGAGCTTCGCATACGTTAGGTCCGATATACAATTACACGCCGAAGTTTTAAAATCAGGAATAAACCCCGTTTGCGCTTAGTTTGATGCTTAGCACGGGATAAATCTAATATTATTACGGTCTATATCAGGTATTAACACTACCATTTTGACTGGAGCCACCTGGCACACTATACCTACGTCTGTATCTTCTAGTATCTCTTGGGCCATGTTGGAAATTCCACATTCCACCTACTCCAAGTACACCCTCTATGGTGCCGTTGGTTATTTTCAAAGATATATTTAGCCTTTGACTGGGTGTAGAGAGGTGTCCTTTCGTCAAAGGATTGCCCCCATCTGGGAAAGTCGGTGAAGGTACTCCGTAGTCCTCAGGAAAATCAAGACAAGAAGAGCCCTGTGCTTTGAAGGAATGGTTGTGCAGGGCTACAAGTCACCTCAGAAAGTTGGAAAACAAAGCAATATCCATATCTCTTTACAAGGTAGTGGACTCAAGGATTATACCATCCTGGGAGTTGGGGCATGTACAAAATTGAATTTTTGGGGGTGTGAAGCACGACAGAAACACTCAGCTGTCAGATTTCGGGACCCTAGGAGGTAGAGAGTCTGTATTCAGTTCTCTAGTAAAGGCTTCAAAGTCCAGCGGACCCGGCTAGCAAATCACTACTTATTTGTAGGAAGAAACCCATAAAATAACTACCCTATGCGCAAAGCATCACTGTCATTCTTGTGTAAGGATCAAGGATGCTGTTTTTAGAAGACCTGGGCGCAAACTACCAAGGTTCTCAGAAATCAGTGCAGTTCAATGAAGTTTGTTTGCAACGCCATGGTTCTGTCAAAACGTATTCTACGCTATATCCATGCTACCAGGTTTACGGCAGAGATAATCAATCAGTCATTCAATCAAAATCGTATCTAGCAACCGGTGACGTGTCTATGTATGTAACTGGGAACACCACTTTTCTATCCAAAAATAACACTCTCGATCTATCAGCCGCAGTGTATTCAGACTCTTCACTTTGTGCGAGAATTTGCAATATTCAAGACCAATATATCCGTTGCACCCAGATTTGTTAACTCATCCATAACTGTAGCTATTAATTTTTTTTCTACCATAGCGCTGACGGCTACCCAACCATTTTCCTCTATTGCTGTTACAGTTGGAGCCTGCTTCCCTGGTGTGATTTGTGATGCCTGAGAGAGAAGGTCGCGAGAGATGTTGTAGTGACAAAGCACATATTTATTAGCATCTAGAAGTAATTATTAATTTTAGGCAGCTATAGCGGGGATTTACTAATACTTACTGATTACGCCCTGAATTCTTGAGGTAATGAGATTAACAAGAGGGTTGGAGGTTCTGTGGGACTTGATAAGGACTGCAGTGCTTTGAACAACAGTATCAATGGCTTTGAGGCCGGCCGCTCTCATAGTTTCGCCAGACTCTGTTTTTTCATTAGCCAATGTCGAGGTACTCGAGATACGTTGTACTTGCCAACCAAGTCAACAATGCCATCTGCAACACCCAACGCACATGCAGCTTCAACACTTCCACCAACATACTTGATTTTAGTCTGAAGGTGTTCTCCTCCATTTACTCCCTCTAACTGCGAAAAGTACTTCGTAGCTAGACCAGTAAAGCTAGTAACCACATTCTTTCCCACTAGATCCCTGACAGCTTGAATGGGTCCATTTTCAGGCACCTGAACTTGGAGCTTGCAGCCACCGAATTCAAGGTCAAGAAGCTCTTCCACGCCGGATTCCTCATTTTGTGGAAGATGTGAATCATGCTCTCTGACTTGATCCCGGCCTGTAATACCAAGGTCGACACATCCATCCCCAACAAAGGTTGGGATATCAGCAGCAGGGAGGAAAATCAGAGCAATGTCAAGATTCTTGACCAATGCAATATCAAGGCGGGATTCGCGGCGGAACTGGACGTCGGAACCAGCAAGGAGGTCGAGCACGGCTTGCTGCAAACGGCCCTCTATTAAAATAGAAGTTAGCAGTTGAAAAATATACGGATAGCGATGCTTGATTTCGGACACCTAGTGTGCTGTCCTCATTAAACCACTGCTGAGTAGTAGAAGGCGGGGCTAAAAAGAACATGGGGGATGTGACTTGCTTTTAGGAACCGCAAACAGTAACCGGCCTTCGAGACTTGGAGTAGCCATTAGCTGGTGCTCTAAGAAAGCAGAGATCGGTCGCGACTCACTGATTGACTAAATCCATGGGTGTGACGGACTCAAGCAACTACTATCCTCACTCAATTGGGGTCCTTGCGCGTCCTGGAAGACGAGGGGTTTTTCGGGGAGAAATAGAAGAAGGCCCATTCTTCTTGTAACAAAGGAGGGCAACCCAAGGCCCTCTAGAAGCATGGAGTTCAGAAATCTGCTCTTTTCTGTCTTAGCAGGTCGCGGTAAAGATTAATTTCCTGCCTAAGGAGGGATGACGCCTTCCAGGTGTATTTTGGATGGTGAATCAGGAGCTTCGACGCCTACACATGACCCCACCGTCTGGCTCCCCCACCGCCTATCAGGCCCACCGGCACCAAGGCGCCACGAATGACAGCACATCAAAGCGCGTAACCAGCAAATCCCAGGGCGAAAAGCAACTAGAAATCCGCTTACGAGGTAATTTCTCTTCTTCAAGGGCCATGTCAAGCTTGTCTCCAATCCTGTGGCGAGCAATGGGTCTGTTTAGCCCTGGTCGATGCGCAGCGCTAGCCAAGTCACTCAGGTACAAGGAGAGTGAGCGAACCCTGGGCACGGAGGGAACAAGGAGCCGAAAGCTATGGGAAAATTTGACTACCACTTACTATTGCATGCGCCGGATAACAAGAAATTTATTACACCTGGGGTTAATCAAGTAGGAAAATGGGAAATGGGGCAAGAATCACAGCTTAGGGGGGGAAAGCACAGCAGCATAAAGGGTATGTGTGCAACGAGAAACACAATTTGACTTGGACGAGGGAACAAAAATCGCAGCCGTAGAAAAGAAAAAGACACGTGCTGAAAGGGGGGAGGGTGTTGCAAAAAAGCCTGAATGACATTCCTGAAGAAGAAAAAACGAGGCAGGCATAGGAAACGAAGTACGCGAGTGATTAAGTTCTTTGACCGGTGGGTACTGCTGAGGGAAACGGACAAGATCGCTGGCAGGTCTGTTTGAACAAACACACTGCAAGAAAGCAATCATGGGGCAATCAGCGTTTATGACAGAGCTCGTTCCAAAGAATTTGACTATGCCTCCACTTGATCCCGAGACATGAATCGAGCGAAACAAACCCAAGTTCCAAGCACAGAAGAAAAGGATCACAGCGTCGTCTTATTTCTCGATCGCTTGCGCGCCGAAAATATTACCAGTCCAAGGGCCCTAAGACAGCACAAAGTTGCACAGTCGAGGGACCGCCAGTTGAACAACCGAGAAGTAAAACGGGTCCTGATTCCAATGAACAAGAACATCTCTAGAGACACACTCCGTAATAGGAAATAACATCGACCAATTGGACAGTCAATTTCATCGCAAGAGCAAGGCTGATGGAGACCGCAATTATCCACAATGCCATAACTTAGAGATGACAGAGTAACCCACGGAAAAGATCTATCCAGGCGTGACGATTCAAGCTGCCATGAAAATTGTCCCTTGAGGAAGCCAATGCAAGTGGCCATCCCGGAAGATCAAAGCCATTTAGAGAATCTTACAGATTTTCTTCTTCTTGTCCGTCTTGGCCAAAAGGGCAGCACGAGTAGCGCACTCGAAGACCTCACGAACGCCCTCACCGGTTCTAGCAGAGCACTCGAGGTACTTGTAGGCGCCAATCTTTTTGCGAATCTCCTCGCCCTATATAAAGTAAGCCATTTGTATTTCCATAAGAAAGAAGAAAAGCGTACCTGCTCGGGGGTAACTGGCTTTTGAGAAGTCTTGTTCAATTCTTCAACGGTGCGGGGGTCGTGGCGCAAGTCCTTCTTACATCCGACAAGGATGATAGGATGGCCGGAGCAAAAGTGAAGAACCTCAGAGATCCACTGAATTTTTGTCAGCATGAGAAATTTAACTAAGCAGATGTTTCCCAGTAAGCTTACCTTCTCTTGAACGTTATCCAGCGAATCGGGGGAGTCGATGGCAAAGCAGATGAGAATCACGTGAGAGTCTGGGTAGGAAAGAGGGCGAAGACGGTCATAGTCTTCCTGTCCGGCAGTATCCCAAAGTGCAAGCTCAACGTGTTTTTGATCAACTTCAACATCTGCAACGTAATTCTCGAAAACGGTTGGGACGTAGACCTAAGGAAAGCAGAAGTGTTAGCAGCCTTTAGTCATGTGCCACAGCGCTTGACACAAGGTCATAGGTAAAAATGCCCTCGATAACGCGTCAACGCAGGTATATTCGAGCGGCTGAAGGACAGAAGGCCTGCAGAGAGAAGCTGACCTCAGGGAAAGTGCCCTTGGAGAAAACACTAAGCATCACGTCATTTGTTAGCCATTTGAACTCCAACAACACACTAGCGTCTTTTCCAGAGAGCAAAGATGAGGCGGAAGCACTTACATCAAGAGACAAGTTTTTCCACAAGCACCATCACCAACAATAACAAGCTTACGGCGAATCTCAGCCATCTGCAGAGAAGAGAGCCAAGGGAGGTTAGCCAGACAGTTTGACAGCAAGTGAAGGCTCAGGAAGGAGGGTTTCCAGAGCGAGAGGTAGTGCAGCAGATGCAGCGAACAGGAAGGGCTTTCGGGCAGAGTTGTTTAGGGTGGGCTGGGGTGCACATACTGTTCAGTTTCTCACTGAGCTGGTCACCAAGGAGAGGAGGCTGAAGATCAACAAGGGCAGATGGGGATGGAGAAAACAGGTGTCAAGAAGCAGGGGGCAGTCAGAGAAGGAAGTGGACGCTGAAGATGGTTAATGAGAGATGGAGAAAGATGGAAAAACAGGTGGTTCAAGAGAGAAGCAGAGAGAGGATGACGAGAGGATGTTTGAATAGTGATGGGGAGAGAGGTTTTGAGGGCCAGCAGGCAAAAGGCACGCCAGGTTTAGTTATGGTTGGTTTTGAATCTAAGACCGTTTGGGTCAGTCTGCAGGCGCTGGCCAATGAGTGCGCGCTGCCGACCGTACAGGAGGCACGGCCGCCGACACCAGCACTCCCTGCGCGGCCGCTTCACTGCGTTGTTTGCAGGTGAATTCCTGCTGCATGGCACTCTGTCTGCTGCCCGGGCGGCAGATTTGCCCTTGTGCTGCATGCACAAGGCAGTGTGGGTGGTGCCGGTCTCCCGCCACTGGTGTATGTACGGAGTACGGAGTACAGATTGGTACCAAGGGTAACGCAGTGACTACAGTATCGACTTTGTTTCGCCGGTACTAATCAAAGCTTTCGAGGGTCATCAATAGCTTGCTACCTGACGGCCTACACAGCAGAACACTGCAGCGACCGTATCCCATCGTGGCCCGGCGTCTGGAGCAGGGCGCTGCCGGGACGCAAACAGCCAGCCCCTTTGCAGAACAGCACGCCTGATCACGTAAGAGCGTGAGAAACAGCCAAGTCACGAGTCCATCTCTGGCGTGCATATATATTGCATGAAAAGGCTGGGCGAGGCACGGGAGCAAGGGAGGCATGCCACATCGGCCAGCACCGTCGTGGGCGCGATGGCCGGCTCTAGAATGCCTGCGAAATGGGTAGTAGCTCGTTGATTCGCCGGCGGGAGGAGGCTCCGCCTGCGAACCGGCCCTGTTGGAGCTAATCGCAGGCCTGCGCAGGGCGAAATACGGCAGAGAGTAAGCTGTGCAGCGCCTCTCTCGGCAGCAACAAACCCGGAGCTCTGGCGGTGCGGAAACGACGTCAAGGCAAAAGGACCGCCCACATGCACCTCGAAACAACCTCCGCGGGCAATGAAGTTACATTCTCGCCTCAGCAATTTGCTGCTTAATGGAACCGATGTATTAAATAGCGGCTGGCATCCATCGTCTGCTCGCTTCAAGCTTGTTCCCTGTTGTTTTGCTAGCCCGAGGGAGGCGACCTGTGGCGGTGCATCAACCCCCAGCTCTTGCCCTACCCACCCTGGCAGCCAGCCCAGTAACGTTTATCCTTTGACGCCGTTTTACTTGGAATCAGCCGGCAAGATGGTCCTCCCCTTCTTGCCCTGGATCCGGCACTTGAGAGCTGTTTCGGCCAGAGGAAAGTTCGCCACAAGGCGGAGGCTAATGCACAGCCACGGCCTTGCCGTCATTTCTTCAAACACTTTAGAAGCCCAGCAAGGCAGACTTTCTTGGGAAGTTTTGGTTGTCGATGTTTTGTGTTGATGATGGCCAGCGCTTCGCGCGGGTCACGCTGAAGTCCGGAGATATGTCGGGCCAATGGGTTGTCTAGGTACCTACGGAGTAGTTACTCCGTATTCCGTACTCCGTACTCCGCACGGCTTCACCGAGGCCTTGGTTCTCCAAGCTGTCTATGAACGTCAAACGCCAAAGGGTGTGTGCGTGCGAACTAGAGCATCAATGGAACCCTATATTTTGGGAAATAATGATCCCTCATATCAACCTGAGCGCCGCCACAGCTTGGCAAATGCCCGTCGACACTCTGTACTCCGTATTTCGATCGTTGCTGGCGCCACGCTGCAGCTGTGGCTGGTGCCCGGTGTCAGTCACGTGCGTAGCTAGGTACTTCTGCTTACCTAACTTCATCCCAAAACTTCAAATTCTCCAAAGCGGTTGGGAGCGAATCGGGGACTTGAGTAATTGAAAATGCAGAAGGTCATTCGGCGGTCGGTTCTTGCCGGGAATCAAGCCAAAAGAAAGGCGCGCAAAATTGCCGCCAAAGATCGCCATGAACAGATCCAATCCATCTTCCGCGAAAAAGTCGCTTATCAGCGAAGCATTCTAGATGACGCCGCAGAAGAGCGTCGGAATCGACGAGACGATTGGATGCGAGGGCCTCTGGCGGCGAAAAGAGACGTTGGGAAACGCCACGGACTATATGGTACCATCTCCTCGAACAGGCTTCGAATGCCTAGAATCCTTGACGAAAACAAGACCAAATATGCCATCGTCGCCCCTGGAGACCGAGTGTGCTTAGTGAGAGGGAAGGACCAGGGTAAAATTGGAAAGATTCTCAATTACGATGCTGATTCGGAGACTGTTACGATCGAAGGCCTGAATGTTGTATGTTTAAGCTATATGTCCCAGTGTCTAAGATATACTCTAATATGGCCTTTCTCAGTATGACGTGGAATTTCCCAAGTTTGCTCTCGCAGGAGATGGCGACAAACGTCCGTTTCGACCGTATTCAGTGCCTGTTCCTGTCGATGATGTCCGCCTCGTTGTTCCTCTGCAGGATCCTTTTACCGGCAACGTAAAGGACGTCGTGGTGAAGCATGCGTACGGCGCTGGTCCTTTTCTCCAACGTCCCTACGGATCTACTACTCCCAGACACACTCGCTATATATCAGGACTAGATGTCGAGATTCCGTGGCCCGAAGCGGAAGCTCCCGACTATGAAGACGCTCCAATTGACACGCTACGCATTGAAGTCGAATCGAAGACCTACGTCCCCTCACTCCAGTCGTTCCCCATGCCTAGTTCTCTGATAGACGAACTGCGCAATAAGTATTCTAAATTCCGGACGCGACATGAACCTGAGTATCTTGAGAAAAAGCAAAAGGAAGATGCATACCAAGCATGGTCCAAGAGCAGAACAATGCTTACACCCAAAGCAGAATATCTGCGGAAAAAGACAGAAGAAAAGCAGGCGCAGCGTGAGCTTTCAAAAGATGAAAGTGGAAACTTGAAATTATCAAAAGATACTTCCGATTTTATTGAGAGCTTTATGGCAAAGAAGTTACAGGGCATGGCGGTTAATTCACCTCCCTCTCCTACTTGAAACTGCCTGGTACCGGCGTTTAGTGATGGTTGCATTTTGCCATAAATCCCTTTTTGTATATGAATTGCGTATCCCTGTAATATTAGCATTGGAGAAGCCTGCGAGGCTGTGAATTACCCTGATAACAACGCGGCTGGTCTATGAGATATGAAATACCACTATGCCACTGCATCTTGTTAAGAACTCAAGTCAACATCTATTTTGTTTTAATTTGCTAGAAGCTCTTGTCGATAATTGGCGAGAACTGCAGGGGCTACTCTCCATATACGTACTCCGTAGAGCTTCCATGAAACCATACGCCGACGCCTGGACCAAGACAAGTTTTTTCTACTAGCACCACCACGACAAGTTCACATCAACGGCGTATAGGCGATTTACCCCTCCCGCCCCCATTCAAAATGGGCTTCGTAACCATCAATAATAGCCAAATCATTGACAAGGCTTTCGGCCCAAACCAGCCCCTACAGCAGAGAATTTACGACGCTCTTGGTATGTTGTCTTCCCCCTGATACTTCGCTACATACACGGCCTGCATCCCCTGCCCACCGCGGGCCCAACATTATCATCAGACCGACGTCGGCTAATTCCGCGCTTTGCCAATATTCAGCTCTTTCTCCTACACTCCGTCCCCTCTTCGAAGATATTGCGCAATACACCGCCGCGATTCAAGATGCCCACGCCTCGGCGGTGTCGCTCCCGCCTGTGCTTCCTCAGGCACAGGCCGTGGTGAGAGATGGCCCGGTGTCAAAGAAGCGAAAGATAGCCAATGGAGGGGGAAACTCGGCACATGCCGCTCCCTTGATGACGGCACTCATGGGAGACGCCGACCTAGAAGTTTACGTGCAGGACATGTCGTTCGCTATTCCGCAGCGGAAGAAATTGCAGCTCGAGATTACGCGTGCGCCGTGCAGTGTGGGATTTCTTCGGGCGAGGAACCAGGCGTTAAATGTGGTGGAATTTGGAATACCGTTTTCGAAGATTCGTGAGTTCTTTCGGGGTTTGAGCTTTTTGACTGGAGTATGAGCTGACTGATAGGTTTGTCCAGAACATGTTCTATGCCTTCCTGTGCCGGAGAAATCGCAGAAGCAATTCAATTTTTGTATAATTCCAGAAGGGAATGATGGAGTCTCTGCGCCTAGGGCTGGGGAACCTGTCTATGAGACAATTGTGTGGACTGTTCCTGACGGCCCTCCCCGTACAGCTTTTTGGGGTTCGGGCACACCAGCTATGGAAGGCTCCAACCTAGCAGAAACATATCAGAGTTATCTAGAAACCGCTCTTAATGATAAGTTGAAACATACGAAAGTAGCATGTCCGGACGAGAAGCTTTTTGTGAGTGCCATCCCAGAGCCTCACCGGAAAGGCGAGAAAGCATTCCATGTGAAAGCATTTCGTGGTAGCAAAGAAGGTAAGTAAAGCTTAGATCCTGCAGATGCTGTATTTCGCGTTTTACTTATTATGTCCGGTGCAGGTTATCTTTTCTTCCTATCAACTGGTATCTTCTTCGGCTTCAAGAAACCACTCATATTTTTCTCTCTGAATAATATCGAGTCGGTCTCATATACCTCGGTCCTGCAAAGAACATTCAACCTGAACATTCTGACCCGCTCGTCCACTGACCCCAATCAGACCCAGGAATTTGAACTTTCCATGATCGACCAGGCAGACTACCCAGGCATCGATACTTATGTCAAGAAACATGGCCTCAATGATGCTAGCTTGGCAGAAGCGCGACGTGCTAAACAACTTAATGTCAACGGCGCCCAAGACGAAGAAGCCAATGCCGGCGAGGGAGAGTCTGAATTACAAAAAGCTCAGCGTGAGCTGGAAGACCAGGAAGATGAGGAAGAGGAAGACTACGATCCTGGAAGCGATGGAGAAAGTTATGGTAGCGGAAGCAGCAGCGAGGAGGAAGAGGATGTTTATGATGCTAACGCCGGCGGCGACTTAGTTAAAGAAGAGCTTGGGAGTGAGGCAGAGGAGGTGGAAGTGTAAAAGATTTTGCGCCATGCTGGATCATGGAATTGTGAAGCTTGTATGGCCTGAGTTTTGTGGGAAGTGCTTCAGTGTGGCTCTAAAATACATATTGATGTGGGACTCTTATGTGTTGTGGAGTTGAGTCAACTGGGGTAATGGTGATAAATTCGATTACTGTTTCTACTCAACTATGCGATTGCCTAGTTGGATACCCTCGAGCGTGGCTATTATCATCGTTGGCTATATGAAGAAGTGTACCAAGAGAGAGAGAGGTTAGCGGCTTTGGCTGAATAGGACAAGCCCAATAGAATATCCAACTATCTTTTGAGGTTTCAGGTTCTCGACCAGATAGCAAAGTAGCGTACGCATGGACAGAGTACACGTGGAGGCAGGGGCCACCTGGCAAGTCTTCAAGGATATAATATTATCCTTCAGGAATGTAACTAACAGGAACATAGGAATATAACCAAAGTCCAGTAATCCATCAACGAAGCTATAAAAGGCCATTACGTATCAAGCGCCTACCTGCCTGGTATGAATTGAGCATAGCCATCCATAAGAGTGCATTCCGAAGAAAAGGTAATAGAAAAGGAGAGTATTTGGCGCTATTATAATTCAGTCAGCAAACAATCGTGGATATAGAATATTATGGCTTATTTTCTTGCAGGTGCTAATAATTCCATAATATTTCGGTATAACAGATATTTATTCAAACCGGAGGATCGCCCAAGTGTAGTTATCATAAAGCTTTCAAACACCAAAAATTGCTTCAAGGATCAGGGGTCCAGCTTATTGACAGGTCCTTTATTTCGACTTCATCGGAACTCCAGGCGGGCAAGAACCAAACGTTATAGACTTCGTAAATCGTACAATAAACTTGCGATTCGCACTCAGGTTGGATCCGCGCACATCCACATGTTTGCTTACGGTCGGGGCTCTACCTCGCTGCAGGATCCGTTTGCTAGCCCCGAGTTACCGATATTCTGATAAGCCATGTTATGCGACTTGCCCCAAGCGACGTCCCGTGCCTGAAAACAGTCAATGCAGTCTGACCTATCGCAAACAGCGATTGGACTCAACATCAGACGTGCTGCTTCTGATCTCCACCGCTTGCATCTATGACAGCCAACGGCACGATGCGAGTCACATTTCAAAGGGAAAACAATAAAGAAGCGGAGCGGCGTTCCTTCGCTGACACTCTAGTTGTCTGGAGTCTCGCATTAGCGGGCGACTATCGTGAACAGCCACCTGTCAAATAGGCCAATGGTGCCAAGGGCAAACACCAGGGTGCAGCCCGTAGAGGAATGGCCATTGTGCCGTCGACGACACGCGCATGCAGCAGCGCCGGTGTGACCACAATGGCCTGTTTCAGCTGCGCAGAACTTGCGATCCCGCCAATTCAATGCGACCTCAAGCGGGTGCTTAGCTAAGCCCGCGTTTGGCTGAAACGGGAGTGGCTGAGAAACACGCTCCATCGGCGTATCGTTGTAATGGTATGGTCGTGACTGTGACCTTTACAGGTACCATACAAATTCTGCGCCAGTGTTCCATATATTACGGCATATTCCTGCGTCATAAACGGTACGTAACGAAGGGCCTCTGTCTCCAGCCTTCGTCCCCAAACAACCTCAACAGGCCGCTCTCTCCTCTCTCTTCCCTCCCCGTTGACGCTGAACTCAACCCGCCGGTTGTTGGAGTCTGACGAGAAGCCGAATTGTCCTCGAAGACAACTTCCACCTTCTCCTGCTTCTCCTTCTTCTCCCCCTTTCCCCCCTCCGTGAACCTGACGCCGATCGTCCTCGCTTCTGACCGCAAACCTTGCCAGCCCTTTTCTCCTGGCGCTCGCACCTCCTCGCCCGCCCTCAACGCTCGCATTCTCACCTCGTCGGCTATCTTTTAGAATAACCCGAGATTTCTCTCTTTCAATCACAATATTTGCGTCTTCCACACTTCCCTTTCGACTCGGTACTGCGGCGTTTTGCTACCCCGTCTTAGGCCTTCGTGTACAGCCTGATGCTTGAGTAATGGCATGATTCTGTCTGTCAATGCGACCAGAAACAAATTTAAGCGATAGTAAGTCGGACCTCTTCATCCGTTAGCTCAATTACAGCTTAAATGCAAACGAGCTTCTTTTGGCATTGCTTTAACCGATCCCAACGAAGAAAACAGCTTCCGTTTGCGTTGAGCTTCTGCCGACCCACCTCCCGTGCTAAGGCTGTTTCATCCCACCTCTCCCCTCGACGTCGTGTCAATTGCTATAGAATTACAGAGATTTTGTTGGCCGATTCAGCGGACGAGATGACATCTTCGTCCTCGAATGTTGTTGGGGTACACTACCGAGTGGGGAAAAAAATTGGCGAAGGTTCCTTCGGTGTAATTTTCGAAGGAACGAACCTATTGAACAACCAACAGGTTGCTATCAAGTTTGTACGGTCCAATGAAGCAGTCATTCTTACGAGGGGACCTCCATTTAACAATGCCATAGGAACCTCGGAAGAGCGATGCTCCCCAACTTCGAGATGAGTACCGTACGTACAAGATCCTCGTCGGATGCCGTATGTTATCCTAGTTCCTCGAGCCATTGGAGCACAGTTAAACTGACAACATGTAGCGGGCATCCCCAATGTTTATTACTTTGGGCAAGAGGGTCTGCATAACATTCTTGTTATCGACCTTCTAGGTCCCAGCTTGGAAGATCTTTTTGATCACTGTAATCGAAGATTTTCGATAAAAACGGTTGTAATGGTTGCAAAACAAATGGTATGGTTCATCATTGAGTACCCCAAACCATGACTTACCTTCATTCAGCTTTCGAGAGTTCAAACAATCCACGAAAAGAACCTAATCTATAGAGACATCAAACCGGACAACTTCCTCATTGGCAAACCCAACTCAAAAGCATCTAGTGTGATTCATGTCGTCGACTTTGGAATGGCAAAGCAATACCGGGACCCAAAAACAAAGCAGCATATACCTTACCGAGAACGCAAGTCTTTGTCAGGCACCGCTCGTTATATGAGCATAAACACCCACCTTGGTAGAGAACAATCCCGTCGAGACGACCTAGAGGCTCTAGGACATGTGTTTATGTACTTTTTGCGAGGTGGTTTACCATGGCAAGGCCTCAAGGCTGCCACAAACAAACAAAAATACGAAAAAATTGGAGAGAAAAAACAGACAACTGCTGTTAAAGATCTGTGCGAAGGATATCCTGGTAGCTATCTCCACCCTCATATAGTCTTCCGACTATATACATATTATAGCAACACTAACTTGGCTTTTAGATGAATTTAATAAGTATCTCAGCTACGTCCGAAACCTTGGTTTTGAGGACACCCCCGATTACGACTACTTGCGTGAGCTTTTCACACAAGCTCTGAAAAACACTGGTGAAGTAGAAGATGGAGAGTATGACTGGATGAAGCTGAATGGAGGCCGGGGTTGGGAAGCTTCTAAGAGTTACCCTTCTCAGCATCATTTGCACACTGGCAATGCACTGCCAAATTCATCCGCTAGGGAAATTCATGGAGCTTCAGCGGCAAGAGGCCCTCATCCTCAAAGACCCGGAATTACCGCTGACCGTTTAAACGCCGCGCAGCCCCCGCCCCCATCCCCTGCGAAGCCAGGAGCTGGGAAGCAAGCGCGCGAGCGGCCAAGCGCCTCAGGCGTGCCGCAAGTCAAGCGTCAGAACGGAGCGGCGGGGGCTTTCGATACAACAGGAGCTTCAACACAGGCCCAATTTCAAAACTCCAACGCAAATCTTCCAGGGCGGGTCAGCAACCCTATGACCAGTACAATGAGTCCTCAGGCCCAACAAACAGCGCGGAGGACACCCGAGACTGAGCCTACGTTCATGCAAAAGGTGATGAAGACTTTGTGCTGTGGTCAGTATCTGCTCCCCCAGAACCCTACTGACCACTTGCTTACAATGGCACAGGCTGAAACCCCGAAGCATTCCACGATTGCAAAGCACCGATTGATATTATATTGCTGTCTAATTTTGTCGGAGTTGAAGGGCTCTTTACATATGCTCTTTCCCCTTTCGCTCGGTTTTCTTTTTCGCAGGTACACGCTTTAACGACACGGCCGACGATGGTTTTAAAAATCTCAGTTCACCTTTCCTTACATCCTGAGCACTTGTTTTCTCGTATTATCTATATTAATATCTGAACCTCCGTTATGACTGCCCTGGGGGACTAATATCTAAATCACCCGCCTGATTGTTGGACATATCTGCCATGGCTTGATCCATTCCGCCTCGATTCAGCGGTGCGGTCTTCTGACTGCAGTTTCATGCTGCACATCCCTCTCCAACCCGTCGACAGGTCTGACAAGACCTGGGTCTTTTTTCTGTTTACCTGCCGTTCTGAGCGTTCCTCCGCTGTGTCTTTTCATTTCCTAACTAGACTACAATATAAAATCCACATCATTAAACAATTCTTTTCCCATCTGCCTGGGTCCGGACTTTAAAAGTCAGGGCAAACCCTGGAGCCTTGATCCTTCTCTCGCGCACGATCTCCGTACCCGAAATTCAGTTGGCCGCTCCACGACTCCATGAGGATCGGAGTGTGGGCCGCGGGCGCAACGTTGGACGATCCTCATCGAGGGCTGAACCATTTTACCGCCACCCTGCTCTCCCATACTTCCGGCTTCAGCAGTCGGCAACCACGTATATATATGCAGTTTCGTTGGCCTCGGTAGGTTTGCTGCTGGCCCCCGCATTCCTTTGTTATTTGCCGTACATTGTGCGAGCTTCTTTATCTCGGGGAACTTATCCAGAATAACGCCGAAACGCAACACTTAGGCAGCAAGATATTCAGCCGAAGTGGAGTCCAACCTAGCTGTGTGCACCCGTATGTACGGAGTGCACGAACAATAAATAATAAAATAGCCTGCCTACTGGGTGTTTCTCGCTTTTGGGCGAGAACCCGCGAGAAATCGCCGCGAAATATGTCTGGCAAATTTTTACGCAAGTGCACGGAAGATACGCCATCCTGCTACTATAACGCCATGATGAAAAAAAGGGCCACCAGGGGGCCGTCTTCCTTCACACACACATGAAGTAGTGACATCCAATTTGTATCCAGAAACAGCACATACAAACACACCCGTGTGTGCGCGCGCGCTGGGCATGGTTCGAAATCAAGAACCCTTCCCATATGGAAGTACGTAGTAAACTGCCTCGCGGGATCTCCGCCCGACGCCGAGATCGTCCGCTCTGACATGCAAGGCGCATCAATCCATCCATTCATTCATGATTCTCATTTCATCCATGCGCCTGCATGACGCCTCGGAGAGGCCACCTACCTAGTCGTGAGTCCTCGGACAAGGCGCCGCGCGGCGGGGGGGGATCAGCCGCAGCAGATGCTTGTGTGTGTGTATATGTATCGAGAAGACAGACAGGCCCTGTGTTGAGACGGGGTGTGGGGGTGTTTTCGTAATAATATAAGAATGAACCGGGAAACACAAGGTGCCGGTGTTTAATTTATTTGTTTATTCTTCTTTATTAGTTATTCAGTCTCATCTACTGCGATGGTAGGAGATACATATTGCCGCAACACTATGTGACAAAGCCCTCGGTCAAAAGCCTAGACTCTGATCCCACGGGTTCCCAACAGGGAGAACGGTCTCGTATTGTTGCGGCTTTGAGGTATCCATGATTGCACGACTCCAGCAGCGTGACTCATAACGAGGCAACATATACGTGTCACCAGCGGCACGATATCTGAAACGCGAACAGAGCGGCCTGCCAACCTATCGTGCGCACAAACCCGAGGATTCCAGGGAAATTGGACATTATATTAAAAGTCTCCATTTATATCTCTGCCGCTCTCCAATCATCATCACTTTATTCCCTCTGGGTATATGCCGTTTCCAAGACCTGCCCCCCTCCCCAAATTGGGCGGCTCCTCGGGCTGGAGCTTGCTCTACCAGTATACTGTTCTTTCACATGACAGCCAGTCGGCACAGAAGAAGAAGAAAGTAGAAACGCAGACGCGGGCACAGTCGGTTGACTGGCATTCCCCCTCTTCTTGCGGAGAGAAGAAAGGATATTCACGTATACTCCGGCCTATTGTCTTGAAGAAGCCCATCTGTGGTACTGGCAAGGTGGTATCGCGATCTGTCTGGGCCTGCCTGCCTGCGCACAAACATGCTTCATGCAGCAGAGATGGCCCCCCTCGCAGGGTCGGCGGGCGTCCAACATTCGATTGGGCAAGCCGGCTCCTTGACGAGGTGTCCGCCAGGACACCATATAGGCTCGCAGGCATGTCGATAAGGAAGACCCCGGGTTGGTTGCTGTTGCTGTTGCTGCTGCTGCTGCTGTCTTCCCATTTTTTAACTCCCAGAATCCCCTCAGGTTTCAAGTCATTCTCTCGTGCTCTTTATTCAAGAATCTGATGGCTTTTCTTCTGACTGTGACCTTGACAAGGGTTACCGCAGTGGAGATAAGGACAGAATGTCACTTTGGATGTAAATACGAAATCGAAAAAAAAAGGAAGTTTCGGTAGCCAATATGCGTTGCCTCTGGCATGAATAGTAAAATACTAATAATAATAATAATAATCCCATCTATGAATGGATCCGACATCGCGCTTCACATTTTGATCCCTATGATATATGGCTCAAACACTTCAGCCTGTTAACGACCAGGAACCCCTCAAAAAGCATTGACCGAACCGGCCAACAGTTACAGCCGTGGAAATATACCGCTTGAATGCGTGATTTTCGGTATATATAACCTTCCACAAAATGTTGCGATCACAGCCAAGAAGCACATCGTCGCAGAAGAGCAGACAGGGGGGAGGGAGGCGGGAAGGGGGTCCTTTCTTTCTTTTTTCATTCAAGCAAAGCAATCAGCAGGGGGGAGAGAGCGAGGGCGGCGGGCATCATCGTCTGGCATCTCACTGGATCACGGCTCCAAAAGCGCTCTCCCTGGAGCAGGGTATTTGACAGCCAAAGGTGCATTCCGCGGCTTGGCTAGACAGTCCGGAGGGGCATTTTTACAGCTCCTGTTGGACGGCTGGAGGGGGAAAGGGGACAGATATGTATCATCTGCAGATTTCAGCGTTTTTTTAATATTTGTGAATGTCAGAGTAGTGTGTCCATGACTGGGTATCCCGGCTTCGTCGGTCGTGTTTCGCGTTGGTAAACCCCATCATTGCTGAGCCGATCGGCCCACTTGTCAAGAGCAGATAGGAGGATAGGTATCTTGATATCATCGAACATGGCTCATCGTCATGCTCTGCGATGATGGCGTGAGCACGCAAGGGCCGGGCGGCTTGTCCGCTGTCTCTTGCCCCCTTGCCACTAACTGCGTTGCGTACAGCCGTTCCAGAAGACAAGATTCTTTATTTATTATTATTATTCCATTCGAGACGGGTCACGCCAGGGGTTGGATTGCGACTTTCGCACATTTTCTCCCACCGAACGGCCCTCGTCCCTGAGGTGGCTCCCATGGAAGGGTGGCTTGCACGGGTGTGTGGAACAGTTGCATCCCTGCGGGCGCGAACTAAAAGTCGACGGGCGTCGCCACAGAGAAGACGTGTGGCTTCGTCGCTTCTTATACTCCGGGCACGTAGAATATATTTCCTTTTCTCTATCCGTTGCTCCTGTGAAATGCCAACAAGGGCTCCTGATGCAGAGAGCGCCCGGCCCAGCCCAGCCCAGTCCCACGCCGTCCGGCCGGAAAATATCGAAGCAGAAAAGAAAAAAGAAATGCAAAACAAACACATCTCAAAGCCAACTGGTTCCAGGAGAATTTACGCCCAATCCAATCACAACGGAAACCGGGCAGGGGCACCAATCATGCGATTTCTGCTCAGATCCATGTCTGCGCTGCGACCTGGTTCGGCTCAATCATATTACCCAGCTCTCTCTCTCTCTCTCACCTTGCGCAGATTGCCGCCCATCTTCTTTTCGGCACGGAGGAACGGACATGATCTGATAGTGACATGATCCACGGCAACCCACGGGAGGATACAGCGGTGAGGCAAGACGACGACGATGACGGCAGGACGGGATATGATGCACATCTGCAGCAAAACCGGCAGCGAAGCGCAGCCTGCCAAATTGTGATCTCTCTCCACTTGGTTCCCTGGATCCAGCGTCCATTCTTATTTATTATTATTATTATTCTTAGCTGAAGGACGCGGGAGGCTCCAGCAGACTTGGATTGCGGGTGGAGTCGTGGGAGGGAACTCTTTTCCAACGCCACGAGAGTGTGGCAGGTCTACTCCTACATGCCTCTAAGAAAGTGTGCTGGGCAGGGTGATTAGTGATTCTTAGGAAAGATAGATAGCAGCAGAGTTCTTCCGCGAGGCTCAAATCTGGTTGCAGAACAAGCAGTTACCTAGCTAACTACCTCCCCAGCGGCAATTGACGGCTGTTCGCGTGCCAAAACAACCCTCCCCGGCTCACCATCCCAAGAGTTGCAGCATCTTTGCCAGAGAATCCAGGCCCTCTCCAGGGTCAGCCATGCAGAACGAGGTGGGGTGGGGTGCTGCTTGTCTTTTTGGTCCCCGGCGCTGCTCTCATGGTCAGAACAAAATAACATGAACAGACAAGCCATCTGCGTGGAAGGGGGCCCCCTTCGTCCCTTGGAACGCCGTGTCAGGCGTAACTAACCCACCCGGACTGACTATCTGTAGGGGACTGAGTGGTGTGGTTCTCGCCGTCCGATCTCGGAACTTGCAGAGAGACGGGCGGGAGGGAGGGAACAGACAAAACAAACAAGTGTGGACCGGCAGGCCGTTCGACGTCATGGGATGCGTGGAATGATCCACGGCGGGAGGACAAAAAGGCTGTTGTTGCGGGAGATCCGTTGATGGGCTGCTGGACCATCCGATATCGTCTGATTCCGCTTCCCGCAGGGGGATGGATGTCCCATGGCCAAAAAGAAAAGAAAAGAAGAAAAAAAAAAAACTGAAGGCAAGACAAGAACAAACAGCCCACGCAGCCACTGTCTCATCGACATCGATGC